TTTTGCGTTGCACTATTATGACGTCACAATGAAAAGCTTTCACGCTCGTTAATGCTCGTTTTACTGCTTCAAACATCAGTGTTTTAGCCAATCAAACTGTATTTAACAAAAACAATTGCATTAGAATACATGTATTACAGGTCTTTAAGTCATTTACATTAACTTGTAAAATCACCAGTTTATTAGGAAATCTTACTCCCCTTGACTCAAGAACATTTATTTAAGGATGCTGACAAGTATTGACCTCCAAAAATAAAAATATTCCGCAGTATTACAATTCAAAGTAAAAAAAAAAAAACCTATGAATAGGCAAAGAATTCCACTTGTCCAAAAAAATCCATTTGTCCACTTACCAGCTTAAACAAAAGCCCCATAGTTGTGCTGTCCACCAAGTTCTTGGAATAGTCCAGAAGGAAATCTCCATCTTTTGTCTCTAACTTTTGGCTATTTCATGTAAATAGAGAGGGATTAAAGTCAAACATTTTCTTATTTGGATGTAACCCTTAGTACCTGGTATATATTACATCACGAATTCTCAGAGTAGATGTGATATTGAGAAAATAGGGTAAAAAACAGGCACAGAAAAACACCCCTGCATCTGACATTAAGTGTCTTTATGAAATTTCTCAGACACTAGTGGACATTTCAAACTTACTGAATAATTTACATGCTTTGACAAACATGGATTACGGGGTGTAGGTTTCAATGGTGATTTCCATAAGACAAGATTTATCTGATAAGTCAAACACAAATCCCAGAAAACTTTAATGGACAGCAGAATATAATTTGGTCGATTGGAGATTTTTATTTGTCATGTAGACACTCATAGGGGTAATACAGGAATATTTAGGGTTCTTGACAAAATGCATATTGAGTAAAGCATATTTGCATCTACTAAAAAAAATTATCATGTTGGAGATTTTTAACAACGTTCACTTTCTCTAAGCAAAACATCCTGTGACCATTTGTTCACACTGTGATGTCGTTTGATGCTTATGTGAAATTAAGCTATTAGGCTCCTTAATGTGTTCAAATTAAAACAACACACCGAGCATGGCATGTGCATATTAATGCTATGTGGGTAATTAAGGCACTGCATAACATGGTAAAATAAAGTATTCTCATCAACCAATAAATTTTCAAGATTTTATCAGAGGCACAGGATAAGAAGGAACCTATGATGTCTACATCATCTTTTATAATTTATCATCATCCTGTATTTATATTCAAATACATGTAAACAATGAAGTACAAGCGTATCATCTACAAGCACTGTTGTCATTTTCAAGTACTCTGACATGACTATTGCTTATTACTCATACCTGAACGTGTCAAATCTAGATGCATCCTCTTTAAACATTTGCAGCATGTTTAACTTGGATCCCTTTGAATCGTAATAACTCTGCAGCTCTTTCCAGGCTGCCTCCGAAGTTAATGGCGCTCGTTTGATGTCTGCCATCTTCTTCAATAAATGCTAATGATCAAAGTGAAAGTTGACACTGTATTCTGCTGTTTTCTTCCTTCTTGCTACTTGAAGTACTTGTCCTGCTTCAGCTGTTTCTTTCCTGTCACCGGCTTCCTCTCAAATCACCTTGAGTCATTCGGAAGTTAACTCGGGAGGTTTTGGATGTTTACCTAAGGCCGCGTACTACAATCGAAGGAGGATCTAAAGGGGTGCAGTTAATTTGGATCCGTTTGTCAGTTCCTTTATTAAAACCGAAAGACAATATAACATAACTCCAAACGACTCAAAGAAAACCAATACTGGCAATAGGCCTATTAATTCTGAGATCTAAAGGTGAAAGGTCAAGGGGAGGAGGGGGGGGGGGGGTTCTACCGTCTTTTTTAAATGAAAGATGAAAGACACTGAGATAACGAACAGTATGTATTATTCAAACTCTGGGAAAGCTAGCCCATTAAATTAAATTATAAAAATCAGGAGCAGAGCAAACACGTACCTCCAAAATATCAGAGATTGGATCGGGTGCCATGGACACGTGATCATCCCCTCCAGTGGTCATAAGTACCCAATGTGTACTCCTTTATAGAGGCTTGTCATGACTGGGAAAATGGGAAAACCCGTAGGCATTTCAGTGTGTAAAATTAATAATGGACTAACAATGAGCATGAAAAACGTCATTTATCATAAATTTAGACTCAGTGATAGGTTGTATTTGTTGACCACAATTACTGGGGGGGGGGGGGGGGTAGGTCTTAAGGACTTAGGTCATTGTATCCGCTGCCGTTCAAAAATCCTGCGAAATGATTAGGCCATAGGACCCACCTCAATTGAGACTGGTGATATCCTTGTTTCATCAATTTGTTTGTCAATACCTTACCTCTTTTTAAGAAGTGTTCATATGTAGATCGAGCATGCTCTTACGAATCATATCAATTGATAGGCTGATAGATCCAGTTTACAGGTGATAAGGGTATATTGCTACATAAGTAAGGGAAGCTGACTTTTGAAAAGTTGAAGTCATCAGTTCACGTTTATCATAAAGCTCGTCGGTTTGTTAGGTTACCATTAACGTCTTTTTCTTGTAAAATATCCAAAATTTGAAACAGCTGTGCCAGAATCTATCTAATATTCTATTTCAAGCTCACTTGGATAATTCAAGTCGACTATAAATTCCTTGAATTTATATGTGTTTTAGGGGGATGGGGTTTACCATGTCTTAATTATTTCCTTCTTCATCGAAAGCTCTCAATATTACTTTCCAAGATTCATGGATCGTGTACGACTCTTAATTTCTATCAGCTTAAAGACGTATGCATTTTCTATGGAATCCTAGCAACTTTATTTTTTTTTCAATTTACTCCACTGCGTAGACCTACATTAAACAATTCCACAAATTCCAAGGATGTTAATACAATGAAGCGCATTGAAGTGGTAAAATTTTCCGTTCGAATGGAACGTTTTGAGCTATATTTAGAGTGTTTATTGTCATCTTTTGACACGCCCATTTCTTTAGAAATTGATAAAACGGTCAAGTTGTTTCTTCAAATACCTGTAGAACAGGTTTTCCATAAATATAATAGCCAATGAAATTGAGGATCTAATAAACACCGAGTAAACACGTGTTCGACCAAAACATGTGTTGTGGTAACTTCAATAGACATGGATAAGTTAAAAAATATGCATATATTCGTTGCAATTTGTGTTTAACAGAAGCGGGGAGTATCTAACTCCCTCTTCTATTTTTTTAAAGCTCCATTTCAGTGTAACTCATGATGCTTGTGGCGAAGAATGGGATGTCCTAAAACTACGCCGAATATTACTTTCTCGTTTCTAAAAATATGGGCGTGTCATTATGTTATAATTGACCTTCAAAACATGACTCAGAACTTTTCATCCAAACGGAGAATTTTACCACTTCAATGCGCTTCATTGTAACAGGATTCCCTATAGACCCATTAGATCCAAACATGTATGATCCACTATCTCGGCTACACGCGAAACCAAGGAAAAAATCATATACGTTGTACATGTATCTGTAAAGGAAAGCGGAATGTTCACCCCTCATAAAAATTCTTTCTAGCTGACTTTTTAGCTCACCTGAGCCAAAGGCTCAAGTGAGCTTTTCTGATCAAAATTTGTCCGTTGTCTGTCGTTGTCGTCGTCGTCGTTGTCGTTGTTGTAAACTTTTCACATTTTCATCTTCTTCTCAAGAACCACTGGGCCAATTTCAACCAAACTTGCTACAAAGTATCCTTGGGTAAAGGGGATTCAAGTTTGTTCAAATGAAGGGCCACACACTTTTCCAAGGGGAGATAATTATGAATTAGAGAAAAATTAATAGCATTTAAAAAAAATCTTCTTCTCAAGAACCACTGGGCCAGGAAGGAAGAAACTCATGTGGAATCATCCTCAGGTAGTGTAGATTCAAGTTTGTTCAAATCATGACCCCCAGGGGTAGGGTGGGGCCAAAATGGCCGATCAAAGTTTTACATAGGAATATATAGGAAAAATCTTTAAAAATCTTCTTCTCAAGAACCACTGGGCCAGGAAAGATGAAACTCATGTGGAATCATTCTCAGATAGTGTAGATTCAAGTTTGTTCAAATCATGACCCCCTGAGGGTAGGGTGGGGCCAAAATGACCGATCAAAGTTTTACATAGGAATATATAGGAAAAATCTTTAAAAGTCTTCTTCTCAAGAACCACTGGGCCAGGAAAGATTAAACTCATGTGGAATCATCCTCAGGTAGTGTAGATTCAAATTTGTTCAAATCATGACCCCCGGGGGTAGGGTGGGGCCAAAATGGCCGATCAGAGTTTTACATAGGAATATGTATGAAAGCCTTTTAAAATCTTCTTTTCAAGTATTCAAAGCCATGCTTAGTGATATTTATAGGGAATCATCCTTAGGTAATGTAGATTCAAGTTTGTTCAAATCATGACCCCCATGGGGGGGGGGGGGGGTTTAAAATTCAAGCTCCCTCCCACCCCCCTCAGTAAACTTTCAGTTCTGATCTGATATATGCTTTTTCCTAGCCAATTGCTCAGGTGAGCGATGTGGCCCCTGGGCCTCTTGTTTTCTTTTCCTTTGCTTGTCAATAAAATTTTTGAGTCTGTTTATTAGAGGAGTGAGTATGAACCCCTTCCCATTGTACTTTTAGGCAATTTCACGCAATTATACTTAGAATTAACTGTCTTTTCAATATCAGTTCAGGATAGAGTCCATGCAAGCAAAAGTTTTGGTGTCCGTGAAATCGGGGTTTCACTGTATTTCTATTCCTGTCGCACGTGAAACTTCTTTTAAAACAAATTTCTTATTTCAAGGGAAGGAATATATCTCTGAATTGTTTTTATTTTAAAAATTCAAACAGGACCATTGCAAAATGGAATTATAAATGAAACTGAATAATTTGTAAATGCTTACTTTAAAAGAAAAATAAGAACGAAATATTTCATGTACAGATTAACCAAACAAAGGGGATGATACAACTTCCGGTGCAGAAAACATTTTTGCTTCTTGACAGTCTTGAACTGTCTTGGGATGTTGATGATCAAGTTATGTTAAATTTATTCATAAGAGTGTCATTTGATAGATACAGATAGGATCCAAGGAATATAGTCCTCCATCCAGCAGCCTAACAACCCACCCAAGGGCTTTTGAACTGCTAACAGTAAGTTCAATTTTGCTTATTTTGAGAACCAATTTATTTTGCCAAATATCAAGAAAATTAGTCAGCATGAACAAACGGAGAAAAGTGGAGCATGTGGAGTGGGCAAACCTTTCAAAAAGTCACTGTCATTATGAAATTCTTTGTATTTTACGTAGAAATTCACACCTTGATTTAATCATATACTATGACGTTTGAAGACATAAACTAAAGTTTAACATTTATCAGATTGGGCACAGCCCACCAAATGTCATTTATAAATTATCCCCCATTTGGTAGTCAATTTCCTAATATGTTGATGATGCGACCGTTAGGGCGAGCGCAGATACTCATTCAGTTTTCATTTAAATCTGGCTTGTCAAACTGCACGTGACATTCAGTGCATCTAGGACTCTCACATGACGTTGTATGCATGTTGCTTTACCGAACTGAAGCCTGAACAGGGCTGATTTTACTGAAGAACTGTTTTATTGACAATTTCTCTGCAATAAATTCATTAAATCAAGGCAAGATTATTATTTAAGCTTTTAGCTCACCTGAGCCGTAGGCTCATTGTGAGCTTTTCTGATCAAAATTTGTCCGTCGTCTGTCGTCGTTGTTGTCGTCGTTGTTGTTGTCGTCGTTGTAAACTTTTTGCATTTTCATCTTCTCCTCAAAAACCACTGGGTCAATTTCAACCAAACTTGGCACAGAGTATCCTTGGGTGAAGGGGATTCAAGTTTGTTCAAATGAAGGGCCACGCCCTTTTCCAAGGGGAGATAATCATGAATTTGTTAAAAATTAATGGCATTTTAAAAAAATCTTCTTCTCCAGAACCGCTGGGCCAGGAAAGATGAAACTCATGTGGAATCATCCTCAGGTAGTGTAGATTCAAGTTTGTTAAAAAAATGACCCCCGGGGGAAGGGTGGGGCCAAAATGGCCGACCCAAGTTTTACATAGGAATATATAGGAAAAATCTTTAAAAATCTTCTTCTCCAGAACCACTGGGCCAGGAAAGATGAAACTCATGTGGAATCATCCTCAGGTAGTGTAGATTCAAGTTTGTTCAAATCATGACCCCCGGGGCAAGGGTGGGGCCAAAATGGCCGACCCTTGTTTTACATAGGAATGTATAGGAAAAATCTTTAAAAATCTTCTTCTCCAGAACCACTGGGCCAGGAAAGATGAACCTCATGTGGAAGCATTCTCAGGTAGTGTAGATTCAAATTTGTTCAAATCATGACCCCCGGGGCAAGGGTGGGGCCAAAATGGCCGACCCTTGTTTTACATAGGAATATATTAGGAAAATATTTAAAAATCTTCTTCTCAAGAACCACTGGGCCAGGCAAGATGAAACTCATGTGGAATCATCCTCAGGTAGTGTAGATTCAAGTTTGTTCAAATCATGACCCCCGGGGCTAGGGTGGGGCCAAAATGGCCAACCCAAGTTTTACATAGGGATATATAGGGAAACCTTTTAAAATCTTCTTTTCAAGTACTTCAAAGGTATGATTAGTGATATTTATATGGAATCATCCTCAGGTAGTGTAGATTCTAATTTGTTCAAATGATGAACGCCTGGAGGGGGGGGGGGATAAATTCAAGCCCGATGTGCTCAGGTGAGCGCTGTGGCCCCTGGGCCTCTTGTTTGTTGTTATTATCGCGAGAACATTGCTTTAGCTTTTGGGTACGAAATGATGCATTGTGGGTCCAAATTACTGCAGAAAAAAATCTACTGAATGAATGTGCAGTAGTTCAAATTTTCTCTTCGCCCAGGCGTTGCTTTAAGAGCTCGTAGTGACGAGCGTCGCTTTGACGCTCACTGCGCTGGCTAAGTCTAATCTTTAGCTGTTTAGTGTAACATAAACTTATTTTAATTTCTTTTAGATTTGTTCTCTTGCTTGCAGTGCTTATTTGCTTATAAATGTCTTTTTAATTTAAAATCAGTTTAAAACCACTGCAGTATCACACACTTATGGATGAGTCCAGCCATATTTTAAGCTTCAAAGAAAATGAGGTTAAGGAATTTCTTCATGCATTTTTCTGCAAAATATCCTAAAGATGGAGAGCCATAAGAGAAATGTTAGAAATGGAAGGAGTTTTTCTGCAGACAGCCAATCCAAATTACTGATTCAAAATCCAATGAAATCCTTCCAAGAGACTCTGCAAAATTGCTATGAAGGTACTGCATTATCCTGAATTTGTCTGATTTCATACATTTAATTATAATTTTATATTACAATATACTAGCTAATTTGATGAAAAGTAAAAGCTAGAACAGTAGGGTTGAAGAAAAGATTTTTTTAAGAGTTTGGTGTTATTAAAGCCTAATTTAGAGGCCCTAGACAGAAAAAGAGAAAGATTGTAAACCAGGGGCCAGTATACAATAGGATAAAGTAAATTTGACATATTGTCACAATGATACTATTACACATTTCACTATTAAAGCATAATAAAAATGAATAATTAAATAATATGCTTTATTTCTAGGGGTTGTTGAGTATATGGATGTATGGAAGAAGTTTGATGGGGCTGGTACCCATCTAGTGGACTCCTTCTGTAACAGTCTGTGTGAATCTGACTACCATTATCTGGGGCTGGAGACCAGTCAAGCTTTTAGCTTCATTTACACTAGCAGCAATGGAATTGATCCTTCTGGAAAACTGAGAGAGATAGAGAAGCTTTTGATTGGCCTTAGGAGTCATCTAGAGTCACTGGAAAGTGTGGAGAAAACCAAGTCTCATTTACAGGTAAGGAATCTGCTCCAGTATTACTTATTAGGATCATTAATGGCTGTCCACTGAAATATGTAAGTTTTATCAAGTTGGCCGAAGGTTATCTTTGCTAGCCAAGGGTTTCTGATCTGAAATATAGTCTACAACCTTTGGCATTAGGGTAAATTTTTGTATCTGAAACCCCTGGCTAGCGAAGATGGTGGAAGGTCAGGAGAAGCTTAGCCCTCCATGAACTTGAACAACCCAACATATTTATATGGACAGTAACATAAAACCAGCAGATTATATTCCCACATAAAGTCATCTACATTTCGATTCAATTCGTTTATTGACCAATTATGGGCTGTCATGGGGCAAGAAGAAAGTACATTGTTAAAATGTTTATAATGATTATGATCATACACATGAAATACAATATACATATACATAAGAGGGAAAGGGTCTACAATAAACATAAATTTGTATATGTATATTTAAGTGCATCATGAATAAGCACTCAACAGACTGTCAGCATGAGATGAGTATTATTAGAAATATTCATACAGATTTACATTTCTATTATTCTTTTTACAGGTGCTATGTCAGTGTGTTCTATTGTTCCTCAAGGTGCAGTCTGACTACCATCAGCTGTGTTCTGTCACCATATCATCACTGCTTGACAAACTAGTCCAAAAATACAAAACCACAGATACCAAAGATGTTCTTCAACAAATGACTGACCTTGACCTTGTGGCAAGGGATTCCCCAAGTCATAGTTTTTCTTCCTCCAAAAAGAAGAGTCCATCTGCCTCTCCAAAGCTTCCAGTCAAACAAAATTTAAAATCTTCATTTTTTTCCTTATTTGAGAGGAAAAATGTGGAGAGTGATGGTAATAGTGCCTTTTACGTAGATTTAGAGAAACCAAGTACAGAAACTTTACAGGGGCAAAGTCAGGTGCTGAACAAACCAGAAATTTTGGTGCAAATTGGACTTGATCCTGTTCAAGAAAATACGAAACCAAACATTGTACCAGCATCTATAGATGATGGTATTCTGTTGCCAGAAATCACAACACAAGACTTGGAAGAGAAAAACCCTCTTGCCACTGAAGAAGAGCTGGACTCTGTTGTGAATTTACTCTCAGGGATTGTTGCACCGAGTACTCAGATGCAGACGATCCATGAAAATCACCTGACTGTGCCTTCTCTTTACCCGTCTCGGAATTCCTCCCCTGGACTCGGCTTCTCTTCCAGGTTTTCTTCCAGGACACCCTCACCTGGTGGAAGTGATGACAGCTCGAGAGCAGGTCAGGTCAAAGGTCAGAGAAGGTCAGAGGGGTCGATAGATTTTACAGGTGTGGCTCGAGGAAACACCTGGCCTCATCGCTCAAGTCTTCCATCAAGTCATCTGGCGAGTTCTCCTGATGGCGGACATCACAGTGCCACCATCCCAAGACGATACTCAAAGGATCCTTATTTAGGCGGAAGACATCTCATGAATATGCCTAGCACTGGTCATCCATCAGCAGGATTTCCATGGGGATATCCTGAACCTAAATATAGACCCTGGGTAACCAAAAGCTTGCCTTCATCTCAAGGGTGAGTTACATCAGTGAAGTGGTAGTGTGTGTTGAAATCTAATGAACGAAAATATTTGCATTAACTTTTGACAGCATTATTTAATGAAAGAAATTTTAAAATTAACAGTGTTTGAGATCTTATGTTTATATGAATTGATATTCTGAGTTATTCCCCTTGACTTGCTAGAACTGAAATGTTGATATTTTTTTTTAAATATTCATTTTTGGAGATTTGATGTGAAGTTGCTCTGATAAATGTCATTTGTGATTGACAATAATTTCTTTATCTTGACAGTTCTGACATTTTACACAGCAGCTGGTCTGCCCTCCAGGATTCTGACGACCTGTCTGACGACTCCTCCAGTGGGGAGCCATTCTTTGCCATGGGGCTGGACCTTGTGAATGCATTAGAAGCAAAGTATGTTTATTTTCTTTTCTACCCAAATTACTCTGACTATATTATTGTCATCTTTAGGCGGGAAGATTTTCACGAAAACTAAATTTGATAAATTATATGTCATTTAATAGCATGGAAATGCCAATACATATATCTCTAAGCATTATTGACATGCCCATGCTGACTTGTCTTGATGTTTTTAATAATTCTAAGAAGAAAATCCAGGAATTTTTTTGTCTTACTAATAGCATTTAAAAGTTATCTGTAGATTTGTATCTCACTGAAATTACCTCTTGTTATCCATCCCAAAATTTTCAGAAATGTGATCAACAGATCTGCAGCTGTTTAAAAGTATGCTAAAATGAAAAATTAAACATACCCTTTAAATGAACTGGAACACATAAATTAAATGGATCATATTTGTATGTAAGTCAATTTTGCGTGACACAACAAAAAAAGTAACCCCAGCATTTTTTTCCAGTCCGTGTGGAAGCAGTGATGAGGATGCAGACAATCAGAAAGTTTTGGGGCAGCATGACAAACACTCAACCAACACCTGGCCCCCCAAACAATCCTGGTCACAAACTATTCAGGGAGGGACTCCAAATCAGAAGCAGCCAGAGAAGGTACCAGTTCACCGTCCAGTGTCCATGCAGTGGAGTGATCCCCTGGCTAATCGTACACCTTGGCCAGGTATTTATATCACCTTATTTAGTTTTATTAGCCAGGTATTTATTCCACTTGATGAAAAATTTAGTCATAATAGTAACAAAAATTTATGTTTGAATTTTTATTGCACAAAATTTTAAATCTTGTGACTTGTATTTCATATTTAGTCTCCTCATATCATAATTTTTGCAACAAAAAAAAAAAAAGAAAAATCTTGGGGGCTATCCCGGTAGGCTAATAGTGAACATCTGCTAGACACAATCATTTTGTCTAGCGCTACATGACTGTCTACATATGCAAGAATGTTTTTCATTTCCAGGTTTAGGTGCCTCTCAGAGTATGCATGGATTCAGTTCAACCAAATGAGAAATGGAGATCAAACAGAGGAAAATGCTTAAAGAATAACCTAGACAGAAGATTTATTTTGATACCATTGCTGAAGTTTTGCCCACCATCCACCTAGCAAGCTTACCCCAATCCAACATGAAACACTCGACATAGATACCACAATCTCACAAGAACCACTTAGCAATGATGCTTCAATCTCACATTAACCTTTATTCAAAACCTTGATATTCAGTATTAATTTGATTGTAGCAGGTTGAAATGCAATATAAATGTATGTCTACATTCTTCTGTTGAATTGCTGATATTATTTTTATCCCTATGATATTCAGGGCATTTTTATTATGTAATACATGTGTGCTTTTTTTTTTTTTTTTTTTTATACATATGACCATCTTTTGATGGGTTGTATTATGGTTTTGGACTTAACCTATTTGTTCATAAATTTGTCATTCTGTCTGTTAGTTTTTTCAAGTGTATGTCAATTTTCTTTTTACTTTTTGAGGCATAAGACCAGGTTTAGACAACCAATTTTTTAAGTGGATTTCTTGCCAGAAATTGATATGTTATAATGTCCACAAAGTTTCCAACAAGGTGGTCATGATATGGACCTTTTACTTACTTGTATGAAGTCGTTAGAAAACACCATGCTACTACAATGAAGTGTGTCTGAGTCTGGTACATGTGATATAATTGATGTCTGGTTTAAATTCTGTATTAACATTATATGTTATCTACCACAGACATTACAAAATAAAATGTCTAATCAAATGTATGGAAAGTAGTAAGCTCAAACATTCATGATACCTATGTTTACATTGGAGTGAACACTTCTGCATAATTTCCATGTTTTGACACCTCTACCAAGAGCAATTGAAAATGTTTTTATCAAGCATGAAATCTTTAATGTTAATTCATCTTTGAAAAAAAAATTTAGTAGTGAGTGTTTTTCTTAGTGCTAGTCATGCCTTCATATTAAGATACCATTTATCATCATTCAAACATTGTCAGTGGACTTATGTTCAGTCTTGGTGCACCTGAAGTACTTAAGGATAACCCATATTTTTGATGGGCATATTATGTGCTATTGCTTAGCAATGCTTGCACACCTTTTTTTGGCCATAAATTTAAACCTGGACAGGAGACAAACGTAAACCTCTTGCCATTTGTATTATTGTGTTCAATTCTGTAAAAATCAGAATGCTTGAAATTTTAAACTGTTCATTGCTCATTATTTTTAAAACTTTTCAGTATTTAATTTTTGTCTGCTAAGATCGAATATTAGGGGTAAATTGAACCTGGTCTTTGAGTATTTTCTGAACAACTATTCATAATTTTAACTTTTTTTTGCAAAACTCTTGATCTATATGAAATACTTTATTAGCAATTTGTTCAATGAAAGGTCAAAGTTATACAATTCAAAAGTAAATCTGATAGCTTCTATAAGAATTTGCTAATATAACAAGGGATGTTGAATTTCACAAACATGCTGTCTTGTTAAAAAGTTTTTGAATAATGTTTTAAGTTAAACACTGCTGTGTGTTGTGTTTTTACACAGCTTTAAAAGGTACATGTAATAAAATGTCGAACTCATGCATATACATCTTTACATATTCCCATATGTAGGAAGTATAAATATTCAAACACATTCTATATAAAACAAAAAAAAACTAACTTTTGATGCCGTGTGACATTACTTTCATATTTGATATAGATGCCTTTCAGTTTCAGCAATATTCCTAGATCAAGATCAAGCCAAAATTTCATTACCGGGTATTTTTGAATTCTTAATTTTTAAAACTTTTTTCAGCTTTCATATTATATTTGGTTCTCATACATGTATTATTACTGCAATACTTCTCTGCAGCATGACATCTCCTTTCTCAGACTGATGTATGCATGGTGAAATTAAACATTCTCCTCTGCCAAAAAGCTTTGATTTACAATTTTGTTCTCTTGTTGCTAAGTTTTTGATTTTTACTTAATTAAGGGAAACTTGTTCCCATTTTCACTTTGACATTTCTAGTAAAATGCTCATTTACAAATACTTACGATGTACTGTTATAGATCTATGAGAAATATGCTATTTGTGATTGTATTATATCATGCTGTTTGTGACAACAGGTTGTGATGATAATTCTTATATGCTGGCCAAATGGAATTTCAAAGTCAGGTGAACATATTCATATAGTCTTTTATTTATAATCATTTAAACTCAAATTCAATCTGGGGAGATGTAATAGAAACATCTTCCTTTTCATATGTATAGAGATATATGTACATGTATTAAACATGTATGTGTAAACTGTAGATGGTACAATTTACTTTTCTGTTAAATGTCTCTCTGTAAACTCTCCACCTTCTGTCATAATAACCTTTCCCCCTTCCCCCTGAACAATAATAGGTTTGGATTTGACTTGAGTGGTTTTTGAGAAATAAGGGTTTTCATTTAGGGGATCGAGGCGGGAGGTGATGTTCAACCAATTCAGTAGTCAGAATTTGTTTCATAATTGGCAATTAAACTATTGGAAATATTATTTTAAAACGGCCTCTTCAAATTGGCATACAGTGGACCTTCAGATATCCGGACCCCAGATATCCGGATGCTGAAGCAGTATCCAGACAATTTTTTGTTGGTACAGAATTTTTAAATGTTATTTTGTCTTGTTTAACTGATGATTCAGGTATACGGACGCTTCACATATCCGGACAAATTGACTAGAAACCAAAGTGTCTGGATAAATGAGGCTCCACTGTATATCCCTCCCACCTTTTTCTGTAGAAAAAAAATGTAGTCTTCATTTGATTCCTAATTGTCCCTAAAGAGATGAGACATCTTAAGTATACATATAATTCACTGAATAGGAGTTGTAAACTTAGGGAGCGTGAATGCAATGTCAATAAAATAAATTGAGCTCATAAATTCTTTTTAAGGAAACTAAAAATTTTTTATGCAGATCACTAAGTGCTATTTATTAATACACTTTAGCAATAAATAAATTCCAGAATGTATTTGTGCTATTTAAAAATGCATAGCATTTTGTTCCCTTGCTGTAGAAATCGAGTTCTTTAAATTTTTCTGGTGACTGCTATTTAAAGAGACATGAAAATGAGAAATGCAATTTTCATTGTAATAATGTATTTTTGTATTAACCTTGATTTAAAAAAAAAAAATCTATTTATATCCCGTTAGTTGGAGGTGTGTGATTTATAGATATTAAGTTCATGGGGTTTTTTCGCATTCGATGTGTCAGGGTATAAAAATAATACTGTGGATCTTTTAATGCTGTTAAGTAACTTTACATTTTATTTCCTTTTACGTTTGATCTTGTTCATTTTGCATTCAGGATTATAACTTTTACTTATCAATCATCATTGAAATGAATTACAACTGTTACATGGTGCTTACAAAGGTAATCTGTCTCAAGGTTTTGTACGGGGAAACTTTTCATCTTTGATAAGTTCATAATGAATGCAAATCAGGGTGCTTTGCATATTTTTTTTTATTACATTAAGGGTGCTTTTACAGTTCAACGTATCACCCGATCACTAGATATTATTATTATTATTTTTAATACCTGTAAAATGTGTAACTTTTTTAAGTTTGAGGGTGAAAAAAAGGTTGATATATTTTTCAAATGAATTACATGTAGTAGCAAAGTAGTTTTATTATAAATAAATTCTATATTAAAAGTAGAGATAACCTTGACCTGGCTTTGGTTCAAGGAACATACCAGGGTAGTTATATTGTAAACACACATAAAATAGGTCATTCAAAAATATCTTCCCCAATATCTTATTATCTAAATTAGGGGGATTGGAGCCAAGCTTCTTGATATATATGTATTAGTTGGAATCCTATACAATAAAACATGCTAAAAGTGAACATGTTTAAAATGAATTGACACATATAGTGAAGTGATTTTTCCCCCTTGAATTTTAAATTTATTGTGAAGCTAGCAATGGTACTTCATTATACATGTAAGCATATTTTACTGTATTAGTGTGTGACTGAAATAGAAGACAAAAAAAGGATGATTAAAAAAAATGGTTACTGCTAAATATGATGACAGTCACTGTGTGATATTTGAGTTTTATCTATATAAGTGAATGATATAGGAGATATTCACGTTGTACAGGCAGATAATGAGCAGGATTTAACTGTAATTGGGAGATACCTGTAGATTGTATGTCTGTCAAGTTACAGTTGTAAAAGGTGTAAAGCAAATGAATGATTACTAACAATGTCTTGAAATATGCTTCTGATCAATGTAATATTGCTAAAATTTTGATAGTTGGGTGGATCCTGCTAGTTTTTTTTTCTGTTCATTGTCATTCATTACACTTTGTAGAATGCAATTAAGACTGATATTAATTCACTGAAAATTCACATAAACAGAAAAAACATATATATGTAGTTCAAAACAAAAAGAGACAATTTAGTGTAATTTTTGCTATATTGCAAAGATTTTAGAATGTATGAGATTAAAAGTAAGTTTATTGAATAATTAATAAGCTGCACATTTGTCACAGTCAAAATTCGTTTTAAATATTTATTGCAATTATTGTTTTCTTAGTAGTGTCATTTCAATATTACTTTTCTACGAGTCAGATTTAAGTATTAGATGATTTCAAGGTCAAAAGCAATTATTTTGTACAAGTTGTCAAAATTCATAACACCTGTCAAAACCAAATCATTTTGACCTATGTGCTAAAGAATGTATATGTTTCAATAATAATTTGATTGGAACATTATTTTTGCATATTTTATGCTTATCCAATTTATTTTACTCCATTGTTTGATTTTTGTTTATGTTTATACACAAATAATAGTATTATATGCAGGTCATACAGTTTACAATAATATGGAGAGTTAGATAAACATGAATTCAATAATAATAAAGTTGCAGTGCAAAGTTGTGTATTTTCATTTATCATTCAAAAGATCCTGGACTAATTTGTCGATACTATATGAAGTATTTTGCCTTATCGGATGTAATTTGCATGTCTGTTCATTAAACAACTACTTTAAAAGGTTTGAATGTTTTTGAATTGGCAAACATGGTTGATCCAAGTAAGAAGGAGGTCATCCTAAGCTTGTAAGTAAAAGGTCAGCTTAAGCTTTGAAGTAGAAAAGTCAACTTGGATTACTAGTTATTTGGATATATCAGGTGGGAAAGAATGTACACTAGACTATGATTTGAACACAGGACCTCTCGATAACTGTGCAGGTGCTCTACCTTTGAACTGCAGTTATACTCTCCCCCCTTTAAGCTTTTTAGCTCAACTGAGCCGAAGGCTCAAGTGAGCTTTTCTGATCAAAATTTGTCTGTTGTCTGTCGTCGTTGTTGTTAACTTTTCACATTTTTGACTTCTTCTCAAGAACCACTGGGCCAATTTTAACCAAACTTGGCACAAAGTATTCTTAGGTAAATGGGATTCAAGTTTGTTCAAATGAAGGGCCACACCCTTATTTTAGGGGAGATAATTCAGAAATAGTGAAAATTTGGTGGTATGTTTTAAAAATCTTCTCAAGAACCACTGTGCCAGGAAAGATGAAACTTATAGGGAAGCATCATCTGGTTGTGTAGATTCAAGTTTGTTCAAATCATGACCCTGAGGTAAGGTCGGGGCCACAATGGCTGATCAAAGTTTTACATAGAAATATATAGGAAAATTCTTTAAAATTCTTCTTCTCAAGAACCACTGTGCTAGGAAAGATAAACTTATAGGGAAGCATCCTCAGGTAGTGTAGATTCAAGTTTGTTCAAATCAAGACCCCCAGGGATAGGACGGGACCACAATGGCCGAACAAGGTTTTACATAGAAACATGTATAAGAAAATTCTTTAAAAACCTTCTTCTCAAGAACCACTGTGCCAGAAAAAATGAAACTTATATGGAAGCATCCTCAGGCAGTGTAAATTCAAAATGACCCCCAGGGGTAGGGCGGGTCCACAATGGCCAATGAAAACTATACATACTAGAAATACATAGGGAAATTCTTTAAAAATCTTCTCAAGAATAGCAAAGGCATGGATGATCATAATTATTTGGAAGCATTCGCAGGTAGTGGAGATTCAAGTTTGTTAATTTCATGACCCCTGGGGGTGGGGGGCTTCTATGGCTGATCAAAATTTTACATAGAAATATATAGAATTTTTGTTTAAAAAAATCTTCTCAAGAATAGCAAAGCCATGATAAGTCATATTTATATGGAAGCATCCTCAGGTGGTGTAAATTCAAGTCTGTTCAACTCATGACCCCTTGGGGTAGGGCGGGGCCACAACATGGAATCAAAGTTTTACATAGAAACATGTAGAAAAAAAATCTTTAAAAGTCTTCTTTTCAAGAGTCAGGAAAAGCCATGATTAGTCATATTCATATGGAAGCATTCTCAGGTAGTGTAGATTCAAGTTTGTTCAAGTGATGACCCCTGGGGGTAGGGCGGGCCCACAATGTAAGTTCAAATATAAAGGGCAATAAAGCCACAGGTAGTCAAAGAATTATGCAAGCATCCCTAGTTAGCGTAGATTCAAGTTTATTCAAATCATACCCTCTCCCCTTTAAGGACTGGTTGGGACCACTTTTGGGTTTCAACTTGTCAATAATAAACTGATTACTGCTTTTTTCCTCACCACATTGCTCAGGTGAGCGATGTGGCCCATGGGCCTCTTGTTCTTGAAGATTTTCCATCCTGAGTCTACGAAACAAATTATAGGTTTTGTTGTTAGGTGCAAAACACAACATGTGGCACAGGGGCATCTTATCCACTCTGTTCTCTACTTTACATATACATGTGAAGTAGAGAACAGAGTGGATAAGATGCCCCTGTGCATGTGGGGGAGAATATTTGCAAAGACTGGGTCTCCAACCCAGGATCACCTACTAACTGTGTGGGTGCTTCAGACTTAACCAAATCCCCATTACATGGACCTCAACTACAGCTCAGTCTCCTGATTGGTCAAATCCTCTCTTTTCTTTTCGACAGTTGTTCTGCCTCATGCACAACTGTACCAACAAGCTCAAATCAAATACAAAGGAAGACTGCTATACAGTGTTATTGCAATTTTATTTGGTCTTTGGTCCAAAAGAAGCACTAATATTAAAGTACAATGGGAGAGAGCTTGACATCTGGAAAGTCATATATGATCAATGAAGAACATGCACAGAAAATATCAACAGTGACCAAGATGTCAAGTATTTACAAAATGCTCTCAAGTCAAAATCAATATAACAGTACCATAAAAACAGCTTTTGGTGGCCATTAATAAATACCATAAATGAAAAGTGTCAATGCAATATCAACTAGGACGTATTAAATGTACAAAACGAATGTAACATTTTAAGACATACTAAAAAGATTCTTTGAAAAAAATGTTTGATAAATTAATACATTTGGCTTTGGTGTGTAAACTTGTATTTTATCATTAAATTAGTGGCAAAATAAGTGATCAATAACAAATCCTTATATAAAAGTGTAAATTCATACCAAACATTGTCTTGTATTTAAAAAAAATTTCTTTCCCCCAAATTTCTGTGAAAACACATTGCACTCTTGCACGCTATAAGGAGAATATTGCGACATCTGGTTCTTCTCGCTCATTTAAAACCAGATCTATGAAAATTCTCTCCACTTTGAAGAGAAGATATTTTTATAAGCCATTATTACACGATTTAAGTGTTATCTAAATGAAAAGGGGCCATAATCCACAATGCTCACCTGAGTTGACTCAGACTTACAAATGTTACCTTGTTGTCCTGGCAGAAGTTCACAGATTTCTGAGAAAAGCTCAATACCCTCATATTTGTATCCCATCCTTACCCCTGAAATCAGGATTTGAACAAACCTGAATTCAAACTTCATTAGGATCCTGGCATTTTAAACTAATTAATGAATTTGGACTTCGTTCTTATTAAAGACATAACTGTTTTGTCATGTAAATATTCCCACATGAAATCTTGTTGAATATGGCTCCTTTTAGTCCCAGAAAGGTAATTTAAACAAATGTTTTCTTATTTTTCAGGCCCCTTATTTTTTACATGAAGATATTTAACGGCCCCACACTATTCCTTTAATTTTATCCTGCAACTACCCCTTGCATTGACCTAATAAAGGTAACCTAATAAACCAAAGCTTTATCCGGTCACTGCCCTAATAAAGCCTCGTGCATGTATTCCGACGTTCTAAAAGCATTATGACGTCACGTATATTGCAATGTTTACGCCATGGCGTCATAGTTTCAACTGCAAAGATGTTCCTAAATCTGTCGAAAATAGCTCATTTTTGACGTTCAAATGTAAAGAATATGTTGCAGGATAAACAAAATACATGATAACTGTCTTGAAATATAAGCGATATTTGGGCTCGGGTTGAAAACGTAAGAGGGCTCGGCAAGCCTCACCCTCTTTCAAGTTTTCTTACCCTTGCCCAAATATCGCTTATATTTCAAGACAGTAACCATGTATTTTATATATCTTACCATGAAATTAATTGTGGCATTTTATTTGAAAAAATAAAAATAAAGACCTCTTCACCCAAAGATGCCTTGCAGCAAGTTTGGTTGGAATTGATTTCTCAGTTTGTTCTGGAGGATGAAACAGGACATACCAGATGGCTACATAGATTTAGAACTCTCTTCAACTCTTTGATCAGAAAAACTAACTGAGCCTTTGGTCAATGACTCAGGTTAGCTAAAAATAATGATGTAAGGTGGTTTGAAGTGTTCTGGTAAAAGTACAAGTAACTAAAAAAAACATATATAGGTAATTCAATAAAATGTAATAAATAAACCAGCTACATAATTAAATATATAAAAAAAATGAAATTTTGTGTACAGGAACTTTGTACCTTAGATCAAAGCTACAAATACTGGAATACAGTACATGTTTTTACTATAAGGGTGTCTAATAAGAAACCCTGAAAAGAACCACAAAACACTGGGACAATACTGAACTCCTCACTAAATACTGACAGAGGACATTTACAAACAAGATAAATTAACAGAAATTAACTGTACACAGAATTCATTCGGACAAATTCTGAAAAATCACTGTCTTCAATTCAGAAATTTAAACATAATATTCTCAACAACACAAGAAAACATTTCAAAAGACATATATACTTACTTCATAAGTAACAAATATGCAGATCCACTTTAACAGATCATTAATGATTGATGTATTGCTAAAACTATATGAATTCTTATCTACATGTTGTTTATATATTTAACCTATCACAAACACCAGGTGTTAGCCCACAGTTTTCAGTTCATTAATTCCAATGTCCTCTTCCAAATCATCGTCCTCGTCATCGAATTCCTCATCGATCTCCTCCTCCTCCTCCTCTACCACAGAATTCTCCACCAGTTTGTTCACTTCTTCTTGTAACTGATTTTCTGTCTCTTCATCTTGTGGAGGACATTGAAGACATTTTGGACTGAAAAAAAGTTTATGCAGTGTAGAACTTTAAAATAATCGGATGGTATACATTTGAGCAAATAGAATACTGCGCTGATTCAATTTATTATCTGCATAAATTAATCCCATGCAGATTTAATATAGAACTCCTCATAGCTGATACTAAATTAGGTCGTGGGTAACATTCTTTTAATAAATTTTAAAGAAAATAATAACAAATTTCTGGGTCAGATACAAAAAAAAATTAAATGTATCATTGCATGTTAACATTTTTCAGATTTTGTTATCATGCATATGGTAAATGATTTTTCATGCTGTATTCTTTAAGATTACTTGAATCAATCCCTAAGGCAAAGCTATTATTAATCCAAGCATAATTCTTTTATACATATGTGGTACCATTCTCATGGATAAACACTGTGATTACTGTCAACATTGACTTCTAAATGTCTTATATTCTTAATAAATACTCCCCTGTAATAGTTCTGGCTTAAAACAAGGAAGACATTTTTCAGTAAGAATTATGAGAGTATTAACTTTTGACAGCATTAACAGGTTATCAATCTCAGGCCAAAGGAATCCAAAAACATTGATATAAAATATCTGTTTTTTACATGTTGCAAAGTGAACCCTTTTGTTAAGAGTTTAAAAATCAAATCTGCTATTTAGTTTTCCATTACGAAAGCATACACTATGCTTTAGCCAATACTATAGATAACTAAATTTTCGCGACACCTTATTATCTCGAGATTGGCACAGATTCTTGATAAGCGAGACAAAATCTTAATGAATTGTGGTTATTGCTCTAAATAATCCTAATGAATACAAAAGTACTATTATACACGAAAAATTAAATTTTCGCAAGCACACTGTCTCACGTAGTTGCGCGAAAATAATGTTCTCATGAATAAAAAGTGATTTACAGTATTGGGTAATCATGCTATTTCAAATTAATTTTGAATGAATTACCTATTTAACCCATAGCTGATACAGTTGTTCCCTATACACTGACAGCAGCCTTGGTCGTGGAACCAGCGATATCGAGCGGCTCCCATTGACTTACAGGACTCCTTACACTTCCTTAGAGAGTAACACTGGGACATGAAGGCCACTGTACAGTTCAGCTCGGATCCATAGTTATCCTTTGTAGCTTCTTGTCGTATGTCTAAATAATAATTAAAACAGACTATATGTGAATACTGATCACCTCTTGTAACAGCTGATGTAATCTCTTGTATCAGCTGATGTTATAATTATTACAGTTCAAATAATGTAACAGCTAGTGTAATTACATATCACCTCATTTTACATCTAATATAATAAATATTACAGAACAACTAATGTAACATCCAGTGGAATTACATATCACCTCATGTAACAGCTGATGTAATAATGATTACAGATCAGTTTGTGTAACAGCTTGTGGAGTTACATATCACCTCATTTTACAGCTGGCATAATTACAGATCTCCTCATATAACAGCTAGTGGATTTACAGAATTTTTCAAATTTCAGGTCACCTCATGTAATGGCAAGTGTAATTACAGATAAACTCTGGTAATAGCTAGTGTAATTAGAGATCAACTCATGTAACCTTACTAGTGTACATGTAATTATATATCACCTCAAGAAAGCAGTTAGTGTAATTAAAGATCACCTCATGTACTAGCTAGTGTTTACAGTTATTATATAAATATTGCATGTAGTTGAGTGTAACATTGAAAATTTTCACCCCAAGAAAACCATTGTCAACCGAGGCTGCGCCTGTAATTTTTCACAGATAAATTTTCTAAAATTACACTCAACTACATGTACATGCTATATTTATTATATTATACTGAATGTTTTATATAAACACATAATACAGTGAACCGTGCGCGCATAAATTCTGCGCAGTCGCTATTTTTTTGAATACCACCCGTCGTTAAGCAATGTTGACTGTTGCTACGCTGGAGGGCGTGGCTTCATTATTAAGCAGGTAGTAGTGTATTTTAACTACAAATGTTTCTCGACCAATCAGATTCAACTAATTTACATGAAAGTATAATATTACACATTACCTCATGTTACAACTAGTGTAATTTCAGATCATTTTATGTTACAATAAGTGTTATTACATATCGTAATTTTAGATCACCCTAAATGTAACACTAGTGTAATGACAGATCACCTCAAATAACAGCTAGTCTAGTGTAATTACAGATCACCTCATGTAATAGCTAGTGTAATTACAGATCACCTCATGTAATAGCTAGGGTAATTACATTTCACCTCATGTAACAACACAGTTAGAGGGTGGGATACCTTCTCTTAAACAGAATCAACTTCAAAAACTTTGGGTATGTAATAATGTTACTGCGCATAAAGCACAAACTGTACTGTAACTTGCTGTTACACGATTTTTGGTTGCTGTATAGCATGAAAGCAGGAAAACCCTTGAGAAATTCGCATATTAAACAGTCATCATTTTGACACTTATAAACACCTGTGTAAAATTGCACCACCTTAAATTTTATGTAATAAATAAAAAATGAACCTACAATTGCTTCCTTGTTGAGAAGGTCAAGTAAGAAATTCAATTCACAAATCTGTCATTTCATAATGCAGTTTTCCTACAGTTCCATGCTTTTGACAATTAAATTTTAAAAATTGATTTTCTTCATTTTAAAAGTGTCTCAAAGAACACCAGTCTAGACTCTGTGTATTTGAAGTGACAGTTTATGATGTATGGATAACCTTCTGAATTTAGCCACAAAGTATAAATTACAAGTGTCTTCAACTTGGAATGATAATTAGTCTTACTGATGGGCACCTCCCAAAGACTTAAACATTTCATAGTGTCACAGGCGATGTTTTGGAAAATCTGAAGTCAAAAATGCCATGTTTACAAAAACACTTTATTTACATAACTCTTACTTTTTCCATATATAAAAACTTCTTCAAGTAGTTAAATATAATGCAGAAAAACTTGCACATTATCATAATTATGTTAATTATAATATACAATAAGTCATTCCTGGGACCAGTATGTACTTTTTGCTATTTTTATACTGTAACAGTACCATGTTAAACAAACAATTTTCAAGGGCTAAAATTTTTATACATGTATTTATGGAGAGTTTAATTACTTTTAATATTTTACCTTTACTAAAAATACAGTTAAATGTTCCTGACCGAGTGACAATTAACTTGTTAAAGTAAATTAAATTGAAATTAGGGCCTGTCTTGTAACATTTAGAATTCATATAAACATTAGTTTTTTAACATCTTCCTGTAGAACAATTAAAAAGAGAGATAGACCGTGTAACCCCATCATCCTATATCTTATTTTTTGAGTAGGACTCCTGTGAACTCAAGTTCTTTTATATCAGTGCCATCTTTTCTCATAACCCTGTGGCAAAAATGCACTAAGAAATATGCATCCTGTACTAGCTGTAGCACCCTATGTATGTATTTTATTTGAATCTTGAAATAAAAAAAATCAGATTAAAAAAACTGCCAAAATAATAAAACCTAACTCATTTTTAATGACCAACACTCCTTTGATTAATTCCCTATCTTTACAGGCACAAGGCCAAATTACTTTTACATATGCCTTCCCTCTTTTTTCACAGATATCAGTAAACTACGTAGCCCTGCAATGAAAAGAGCTAACGATCGTCATACAATGCAGAGGAATTCCTTTCTGCTATCATGTTTAGATGAGTCAATCACTCCACTTCAAGATAAAACCAGAAGACTCAACAAAAGTCCTATAAAAAAATCAACAAAATCGCTGTCGAACACCTGTGAGTCTTCTTTTCTGGTATAAGCTTTAAGTAAATGCCCCCTAGCACACCTGCACGATCTTTAAATCTCAAGATCTTTATCCACCTTTGAAAAGCAATGTTTGACAGAACTACAAACATGAACGGCTACCATTTCCTACAGTTAGAACCTTCATACACACAAGTGTTGGTGTTTACATGGTCTTTTTCTAACAGTATAACGCCACAAGCATTTTTAGCAACCCTGGCCAAATGCACAATTATATACATCATTATCATACATAAGAAAAATCTCAGAGAAAATCTTTCTAAATACCACAGTTATTTTTGTCCCATTAAGGACTTGCACTTATACAATTATGTGCCAAAAACAGATAAACTAACACAAGAAGTTAATCCAATCTTGCCCCAAACCCTACATAACCTTTCCAGCAACATTTTACTTAGTAATTCTAAATGTACAACATAGTGAATGAAAAAATTTCCTCCTCTGCATTTGACTTAATACATGTAAATAAATAAATCAGCTGCAAATAGAATTGTAGGAATATAATTTTTTTCCATTATGTCTTGAAAATCCTTCTTGTGTGTCATAAACAACAAAGTTCAAGGGATGAAACAAAAAATAACTCTTGATCTATAAGTCTGAGTTCCTAAAATTGCCAGAAACCTACTCCCCCTTCCCTAATGCTTTTTGATGGAATAAAAGTTGTTTCATGTAGGAAATGTTTGGCAAATTAAGATCTGCCTTGTTGAGTTATTTACAATTAATCCTGTGCACTTGGTCCTGAACGTTATTTCAACCATGTGCTGCCAGGAGATGGAAAAAAGTATGATGGAATGAATCCAGGGAACTACTCACCGTACAATTAGCTACAAGATTACAAGAAACATCAAAACCAATGGCTTAATCAGGTGTACTACCCCCTCTCTCATTAAACACAAATATAAATCTTCAACAGGGTCTTCATGGTTCATACAAATGAAAGAAAATCATGATTTGCATTGATTCTTCAACATATTTAGTATAACTTGCATCTAGCACTGATAGCAGTGCCAGCTGGTGTATATATATGAAGATTTGGAATGTGGTAGGATGGATGGTGATGTACGTGGTCAGTATATATTCTTGAACTAGAAGTCTTGCAATTTATATTTTCTGAATAAAAGTGGATTCATGAGCCTTGAATAATAGTTTAATTTTCAACATTTATGTTTAAAGAGGCAGAGGGAAAACAAGCATTTTTTTTAAAGATGGCTCAAATTAATTTAACATAAATGTTAAAATTTTCTAATTTCTTCTGATATTGCTTGTAAAAATTTTGAAAAATGGAATGACAAAAAATGTAGAAATCTTAGATAAAGAACATAAATGGCTATGGATGTTATTAAAATTAGCAGACAGATTGATAATAAAATATATGTAAATTCAAACATAAAAAGTTAGCCCTATTCAATGAATGTCAGACAGAGAAATCAGGAGGGACAAATAAAACTGACAATAATAGTAATGAAAAAATAACAAACCGTGTCTCCCTACACAAGGAAGACACCACAAAACCATGATAAATATCTAGGACCCACCAAACTGCGGCCCTCATATATTTTGTTTATCTGGGAACAAATTAGCTTTGTATGATTCATCTGTCAATCCTTAATAGTGGACCGAACAATTCATTCAGACTTTTTACATTGTATCATATTTATCTTTAACCACAAAGACAACTTGATAAAAATGTTTCTCTGTTTAAAGGCTGACTGAGCCATACAGTTAAAACAGGTTTTTGATGATGATATTATGAGTAAAATGAAGAAAATTAAATGTGTGTCATATAAAAATATATAATGCTACAGGTACCCCCTCCCAAAATGATAAATAATTAAAAAATAATAATTTTTAAAAGTCTAATTAGCAACATATTAACATACTCATGGTTATTAAATTAAAGGAACAAGATACTTTTAAGAAAAACTGATAATTATATGCACAAAATTTCTTGACATGGAAAAAAGACCTCTCCAAACTGTAATATCAAAGGAAATTATCCAAGTACTTTGGCAAAAAGTTTGTGGATAAAAAATATTGTACTCTTTCATTTTTGCATGGAAATTCTGTATTTCCCTGAATGACTGAGTAGACTATATTGGGGGGGGGGGGGTGTCGTAAATAAGTCCAGCAAAATCCTGAAGTTTAATTATACATTTGAACATTTTTTTTTTACGAGTGCCATCACCACAATTGAGACGTTTCCTGGTCTTCTTTGACAGGAGAGCAGATTGAGATGTACATTGAACAGTGTTGGATTTGTAGAGGAAGTGTCACTCCTAAACCTCTGTGGACCACAACAACATGCTTTACCTTGTAATTTATTGTGCCGTGTGGTTTAATTTGACAGGTACATAAAGTTTCAATAAAAAAGGATAAAATTTTTGTTGAATCACACTTTTTGAAAAATGCTTTTACATATATTTTTTCTGCATTCTGACTCATTCACATTGGTTCCAAAATTTATCACAATTGTGTGGAATGTATGAATAACAGTAGATATTTTTTATTGCTTTAACAGGTTGCCTAGATTTAAAGTTTTCTTTGTTTTTGTAAAAAAAATCACATGTTTTTTACTCTATATATCTACATTTTACACCATCACCAAAATAAACCTCTCCTTCTTAAATTAAAAAAAAACATGAAAAGATTGCCAGTCAACAGTCAATTGAATATGTAATTATAGTATTCATACAACACTTAAATAGAATAATACATCCATTGTTTTGAGATTCCCATTTATATACCCCCCCCCCCCCTTGTAGCTTCAAGGAGCACTACAACTTTCATTCCCTGGTATAAAGTAGTTCCTTATATTCAATGGGTGAGTGGGAAAACATTAAAGAACTGTGATGACCTCTCAATCATTTGTTTGTCACTGGCAGCTTTTAACTCATCTAGAATGTCTCCGTAATTTGTCTCTCTTAAGATATCGTTTTTCCGAGTTTGACATGCCTTTCAGTGCTAATGATTGTTTGAAACTGTGCAGATCAAGACACTCTGCCTTGCGATACAATGTAAGTATTGGAGATAAGAAATTAGTTAAAAGCCCGTATTCATTGTGCTTGCTTCCAAACCCCAAAACCACAGCTGTCTTATTGTCACTCAGATCTGTCAAAAATCTCAATTTTTTTTAGTTTTAACTTTTGTGTTTTATTTCCTACTTTGTGTCCACAAATATGTTATTATACATTATTAATCTATCAGTGCATTTAAAAGTGCAACTCCTTTCACCATATTTCTGGACTTAAATCTTTTATACACTGGGGACATAATAATATGACAAAGGAAATTCAAAAATCACACCAGTGTTTGTTTTTTCATGAATATCTGAGAACTCAAACTATTATTTTCTACTAAGACTTTGAACTAAATGAGGATGAAATACAACAGCCTGAAAACCTACACATTCAATTGACCATAAAATACATGAAAAATTTCGCCCACATCCAAAATTCACAAAAACACCATTAAATTTCTGATATCCTGATTCGTCTCTTGCCTTTGGTGAAAAAATGGAATTTCAACTGATTCCCATCCCCTCATTTACACCTTCAAAAGAAATGCTATTTGGGAGTGCGACAATGATTATCCCATAATAATAAATAATTCTAGGTAACGATGAATAGCTTAAAGTCCATTGGGCCAGTCACTTATAAACTGCACTATATTTGGCGACATGAGAACTTCCAGTGTGTCGCCAGAGGAACAATATTGTTGCATTTACAAAGGCATCGCACCAATCAACTTTGGATATGCTACCATTGGGTGATATCTGCTATTCCGAATATAACATCAGTTCATATAATTATACAAATTTAAATAATTTGTCTGGTATGAAATTTTTCCTTGACAATGCATCATGAAATTATATTCTATTTAAGTCATTTAATAGAACCATGAATTTGCACTTCAAGTATATGCTAAATGATAGTTAGTTTTGTATGAGGTAAACTATTTGGAAAGAATTCTTTCATACTTCTTCATGCTTGAAAGAGGTGAAATGATCCAACAATTTGTAAACAGCCTAAGTTTCCTTTCATTAATTCAATGAAAATGAATTATTACTTTAAACAGGTGTTTTAACACAAGGTAGATATATGCCCATGACAGTAATTTAATATTTTATCTTGTCAGGTGTTGTGTAAGTCGTGATACATGGAGTTTATATCACAAGTAAACCATAAGTTAAATGTGTCAAATGACTGGAGAAATTAATACGACACATGTAAATGAGATGAAAATCAAAGAGATGTGGACGATATTGTTTACGTCCTATGTAAGATTAATTGTTCAAATGTAAAATGTCAAGTTAATATTGAAAAAAATTGATTTTATAGCTATCCTTATTTTAATCCAGTAAGGAAAACTTTTTTTAGTTTTGATGTGTAAATTTTTAGTTTCTCAACATTGCAATTATATTATTCAGATTCTAAAAGTTTAACTTTAAACATGCTGAAAGAGATTAATTCCTTTTCCATGATTTATTAATCATGACACTTATAATTAAACTTTCTTGAAATATGATCCATTGAGTAATAACTTACAGGGATCTTTCTGAAATTACAAAGGACTCTGACATCAAAAGCTAATGTCAACACTTAATAAATTGATTACTTCACATGTTTTATTATTTTTGGAGTTATAAAATTATATCCATCTAATTTTGCCTTTCATCTCCAATGGGCAAAAATTTCACAGATGTATTCCATGCACATTCAAATGCACAAAAATTGAATTTCTAAAAATTACTCTGAACCATTCCCAACTTTATCTAACATCTATCTGAAAATCAAGCCTGTCAATTTTGTCAAAGCGACTGATTCTACAATAAAATGAATCTCCACCAAAAAAAAAAAAAAATACACAACCGTCTCCTTGAACTTCCCTTGGTTCACATTTCACGGATACCTGGGTATGCAAACCTTCGACAAGATATTGGACCGTGATTCTTTGAGCTTTGTTTATAAATCACCCTTATCTCACATTTGTGAGGGATTGCTATTATTTGGCACACCATACCTTTGGAGAGATCAAGAATTCCATGATTCGGTTTATACAACAGGGCATCAAAGTGCACAGGATGAGAAAATGTAGTCCATCTCTTCTCAATGTCAGGTTGTTCTGTTAACACATTAAAAAGTTCTGGTATAGGATCATGTAAATCCTCTATTGTGCTGCCATCTTGTAAATCATCATCAGGATCTGGCTTTGGACACAAACCTGTAATTTATACAAAATAATGTTCAATATACGATACAAATAAATGCATAAATATATGTACTTCCTTTTTTCAAACATGGATTGCAAGTTCATTTAAGTCTGATATTTAGTGTAAATAATAAGATACCAAGAAAGACATTCGAACTGACATGAAACATGATAAAAGACCATTCCATGATGTAACATTGACTAAGTGTAACATCTTCATGTTACAAAAATATTTCATGTGCAATATTCACATAATAGATCAGGATCACTCTTTAGGAACCTTGCTTACATGTCCATGACCTTTATACATGTACTTTAATAATTACAAAGGTCAAATGCAACAGCTTTAAAGCTTATAATTTCTGGCAACCAAAACTGTTCTGCTGGTTATGTAATATAAATAAGATCAAAGGCAATAACATGTCAATTTTCCTTGAAAGAATGCTTTCATGTGCAGAACAACAGATATTTAATCTCGTTGTACATGTATACAGTAATAATTCCCCCCAAAACTCAATCCTTTGTTTTATTATACTTCTATAATGGATGAATGTGATTGTATTTATATCATGCATATGGGCAATTAATCATTTAAGGCACCTCAGTTCAGTTTTCTGCTATTTTCGTTTGCAGAGAAGACAGTCAAATTTTTTTCTCTCAAAATATGAGAATTCAGAATTATAGTATTCACCTTGATAGGCATTCCAATTGATTAAACAAAATGCATCCTCTAGTGTTCAAGCCCTATATTTGTCCTTACCAAAGGACCCTGACCTTGAATGATACTTTGACCTTGACCTTCAATTCAACATGTATGAACAGTCTTTCTTGTTTGCTTCCATGTTATGGTAAAGATTAATATTGCAGATGTAAAACAGAAAGACAAACAAATTAATAAAAGTAATTTAGGTCCAATAGGCTTTATCTTGCATGCTTGCGAATGCTGAAAAATGGAATTAAAGAAGCAGTAATTGGGAAATGTCAAAATAAATAGATATGATACTAACCAACACAGGAACAACATTCTGTGTACAACTTGGACAAGCACAACTGACAGTCTTTACAACACGTACAGTTCTTCAAACTGGTCATATCGCAGTCACATGATTTAATTAATAAACACTTGCTAACGATACTAACACAGACACCTTCATCACAACACAGGGCCAAAGTAGCACAAAACACGAGCACTAAGGCACAGGCCAAGTAAAGTTTGTTCCTCATTGTGATCTGAAATAGAGACATAAAAAGTTATAATCACCTAATTATTGCATGCAGCAAAACTGTATCTAAAATATTCATACTTTTGGAAATAAGTCTGCAGACAACACACGAAAGTAACTTGCATGGATTATGGATTCGATAGTTTAAAAGATAATTTTCCTTTTTTAAATATTATTTGAATTTTAATATATGTAAAGTTCTGAAAGTGAAAAATTTCTTCTTCACAGTTAAAAACTTAATATAATGAATGGATATTGTAGGATTGATGAATCAATATTGTAATATTGTATTCTATAAAATTAAACCTTAATGTAAGCATGTTAACTTTAATGGGAAAAGATTATCCTATAAATATATGATAAATTAAAATTTTTAACAATTATTTGTTAATGAAATTATACAAAGTCTAAGATTGAAAATTACTGCAAGTATAATAAGTTATTTATATTAATCAAACTTGAAACTAGTTCATTAAAAAAAAACATTTATTAGATGATTTTTTTAACGTCTTCAAGCTTTTCACAGATTTTCCATAGTATAAAGTAAAAGCTCGCAACCTAAATGCATTATGTTGTGCATGCTTTACTGTTTGTAAACATCGAGAGAAAAAAAATGTGCACTTGATGATATAAAGTTAAAAAAGAAATTATGTATTGTAACAGATTTACTGTTCACATAAAGAATCAATTATAAGGCCTTCGTTGACATGACCAAAACAGCACACCCTAACTCTTTTTGTATCAAGTCACGACAACAATCAAAAAGTTTACCATCAAGTTCTTTTTCTCTTCACACACGTTACTCGTTATAGCTTATTTCTTTAACCCCGCGTTCATCATAATTATTACTGCCAATACTGGTATTTACTATGCCAAAATAATGTATTATGAAGCCATAATTACATACCTGTGCTGTTAAAAATCTACATCACACTTGCGTGTAAAACATATCCCTCCCCGAAGCTCCACTAACAACAAATGGAGCACCTGTATCTTTCTACTTCCGATAGGCGCACGCAGTTACCTCCCCGAGAACGCTAAAAGACTTTCCCACCTGTGGCTTGCGAGCGAGAAAATTATACTTCTCTTATCAGCTTTGTCATTACTTGTTCTAATCCTTGTTTATTGTCAGTGGAGAGATTTTTAATAGATTACATCTGTATTTCTGACAAAAGAGCGGAAGGAATTAAAACGACTAAATAATTAAGATTTTATACTTAGATAAGTTAATTTATACTTGGATAAGTTATCACGATTTTCAAGACACCTTGTAAACTGTTAAAACAAATTCGGCACATGAATCAGACCTCAAAAGGTCGGAAATTTACTCATAAAACATGGAGAATTTCAAGAGCCCCACGTGTCACAACGCTCACCTGAGTCACCATGCAATGACCCTTTCACTGAGCTCCTGCGGCCTGCATGCATGGAAGCGAACCCTTTATCCATGGAATGAATATTAATTTTATTACCATTTATGTTATAAAGCTAATTAATTGTTTTTTTTTTTAATTTGAAGCTAGATCTCCAGGATGAGATATTTTCAATTGTGTCGTGTGAAATTAACTCAGTTTTAGCCCTTCTCCGAGAGTCCAACTTTTTTTCAATACCAATTTCTTTCAGTCCCTATTTTTTTGCATACAATACTATATTACCCTTATTTCAATTTACTGCAGCAAAAAGTGGGGGAGGGGGCAACCAGCCTCTCAATGTACATTTTCAATGGTAAAATTAGCTTCTGAAATTTACACAGCTTCCCCCCCCCCCCCCCACACGTTCACTGTTGAAATATACATATGATAGAAATGCGGCCGAATGTCAACTGGTGTAGTAAATAGCCAATTAAAAGTTCTCTTAACAGAGGTGGGGCATAAAAATTCAATCTTTTCAACAACAATTTTAAGTTCCTATGTTATTAATTTCGTAACCAATGAGAATCTACTAGTATTCTCCATTACCCCACCTCTGTTGATTTTTTTCGTGAAATCCTGGCTTACGATTGGTTAAAGTCTGTCACGTGAAGACGGTGGATAATATCTCATTATTAAGGTCAGTTGCAAATCCAATTACCCGGTCAGTTGTAATAACTATACCCGTTATTACGATGTATTACGTCACAAACACAAACGTGACGTCATAATAGGCACAGTAAAAGCGAGATGAAGCATTTAGCAGAGAAAACCATTTATAACCCACAGATAAAACGTAAATGTTTCATCGGTAATTACGGTAAATTCGTAATAACGATAAAAGATCTTTATTAGAGACAGGTATAACGGATGATACCTGGTTAGTAAATTTCATACCTTATAACGGAAAATCCGTAATTACGCCAGGTATAAATATATATTTATGCCATTATCAATTTTACCCAATACCCTGTTTTCACTAATTAGACTATGTATAACGAATATTAACTCGTAATTACGAGATAATTAACTTGTAATACTGAAAGTCCAAAGATAGGGTAAAATACTCCTATTTCAATTTACTGCAGCAAAAAGTGGGGGAGGGGGCAACCAGCCTCTCAATGTACATTTTCAATGCTAAAATGTGGGGCCGGGGAAGCCCCCCCCCCCACGTTACTACGTGACTGTTTAATGATTAATTTAGTTAAGGGACTCCGATCCTCAGCCAGGAAGGGCAACTCTTTATAATTTAATTCAAAAAGTCTCAAAATGAAGCTTAAAAATTAAATTTCTTCATGCAACAATTTTCATTATATACAATGTACCTTTCAATGGTTTCAGGGTTCTTTGAAGTTCTCAAAAAGGTCTAATTAAAAGTCGAAATTTTTACCCCGTAAAAGCATTTTAAAATTATATATATATCAAGAAATTGATGTTCATTTAAATCTAACCATAGATACCAATGTTTATTAACATGATATGAAATTAGAAGAGATTTGTGGATCTTTGCAAGGAAAAGAGAATCTTTAAACACTTTGTTTTGTAAAATGATCGAAGTAAATAAAAGAAATTAAAGAACATTATATGTATAAAAATGTGGAATTTCTTCAAAAGCCTGGATACCTATGATTTTTATTTTTGAAATGTGTTAATTGATCAAATTTGAATTGGAAAATGCATCGCAGGTGTTTTCATTCGCAATTCCTGAAAATATATTAGAGATTTACTAATTTTCTTTACATAATATGATTAACTTGAAAGATAAAGTTTGAAGAATTATTATGAGTTAAAACACGTTGCTTTGAAAATTCGGAGACATTTTTGTGAGCATTTTCAATTAGTCAATGCTTGATTTTTCAGAACCTGAGGATCGGAGTACCTTAATAACTGACTACTTTCGGTATTTGAACCGAGACAGGCATTGACAAATAAGTTGATGGTACAGATATTTTATCGACTTTGCAAAACCCACACAGCATTTATTGACGCCCGCGCGGCGCAGTGGTATGAGCGTCATCTATAGAGTCGCGCGGAGTAAGGACTTGATCCTTACGTCGTGCGTTCAAATCCAGTGGGACGTGGACACCGGTCCTTCGGATGAGACCGTATAATCAAACTTGCACGATAAAGGTTCAATGGCCCTTATGAAAATTGTGCACTCTTGTTTTCATATATGTGTGTGAAAAATTTGGTCGTTATGATCACCTTGTTTTCAAATACAACCTGATCATCTGTGCGTATTTTGACTGACACATTTCACACCACTTGTTGAGCCTCTGCTTTTATACGAAGTTGCCTACGGAATACTCCATCAACCTTAGCACGTATATAAACTCACGACATGTGTATCCGGTCGACAGGGGAATTCTTATTGATCCCTCCTATGGAGTTTTACAGGGGTCCGTGTTTTTGCCCTGTTGATGTCTACAGAGTTGTTTCCCTGTGGATCCTAGTATTTTCTTCTACCGATCGCGAGGCCTTAACTTCTGCATGTCTTTCCCTTTTCATCCCATGCTATTTTGCTCACTAACCCCCTCCCCCGGTCCCTACTCCTGCCCCACTTTCCTCTCCCGCCATTCTTTTGTCATATCGATCCTCTTTCTCAAACACAACTTTCCTAATTCTGTCACGTTCCTAGCTCCTGTCCTCTCTGTAGCTCCACCCTAGTTCTGCAAATTAAAACCATTTTGGGTATATTATTTTTTTTCTGTTTATGTAAGATATACTAATACTTTCAAATACAGTGCTACCTTGGGAGAACTTCTGTAAATTTAATCAATGTTGAGAGAGAGAGAGAGAGAGAGAGAGAGAGAGAGAGAGAGAGAGAGAGAGAGAGAGAGAGAGAGAGAGAGAGCATGCATAAATGTCTAAGGCTCAAATGTTTATACTGAACATAGATTTGTGATTTTGTGGATGGTGATGATGAAGATTTTCGGTTGAATTCGAGCCGATTTTTAATGCATTTAAATTAATATTATTATAATTTGTAAATTTTGCTCAAATTTAAAATACACTACATGACGTACATGTATATGCTACTCACATGTTTTTTTTAAATTAATTAGGTAAATGTAAATGCAAAATCATCTACCTAAACGTTACTACTAAAATTCTATTTGGGGTGAGGGGGTGGGGTGGGGTGGGGGCTCTAAATTAACAGTGTATTCAGTCATTAAAGTAGAAGACGATATTATACACGCAGTAAGGCTAAATTTTAGGGATGGCAATTTGTAACCGATTAATTACTCGGTCGGAACGATGGAAATCGGTTAGAAATTTTTGTAATCAGTTAGTCGGAAAAAATAAAATTGAACATAATTTTCTTTGAATTTATTTTCAAAAAAGAAATCGCTGCACATATGGTTGAAAATTTAGCGCCCGGTTTATTATTATACCTCTACTGATTTTTCCCTATATAAAAATTAAGTGATTAGATCTGAACAATTCCCTAGAAATCGCTGCATGTGAATTGGCTAATCCCCGTGCGTTAGTTTTTTTTTTTTTTGAGCTAATCCCTTGGTCGAAAGCTAGTCATGCTAATTCGCGGTTATAGATTTTCATTGTGACGTCATAATAAAGGTTTTGAATTTCAAATGTCAAACTCAAGGTCAAGGTCAAAAAGTAAAAATTGTTGGTACACAAGAAAAATTCTTGTCACAAGAGATCACTCTAAAGCAATTTCTTGTCTTTTTCCATTTACAAGGCCCTTACAGCTACAGTATGTTAAAACAAAATCTTGTCAACAGGTGCAGGCTAGCAACATAACATTAATTTAAAGCTGAACACTACTCGTAAATAGGCATAGTCCGCCATATTTCTCGTTCTTCAACGCTCTCCCTACAACTCGTATATAAGGAGCAGATCGCTAGTCAGTTCAATGTATTTTACTATACCGAGAGTGCAGACGTACATCTTACAAAGCGTGCTACTCAATATCGATGAAATTATCAAATTTTACGTATTTTTTCCAAAACAGGACAAAAGTATCATGAAAAATACAGGTCAATACATTATTTACAAACGGAAAATGCACATAAAAACAAGAAATAAACGCAAAAAATCTAAGACCACGATAGGAGTACGACATGACAGCCACGAGTTTCGATTGTGCAATCGGGTGTAACGAAAGCGAACGGTTTATATACCCGTCTGACAGTGCCTATTTATGAGAAGTGTTCAGCTTTAAGGAGAAGAAGAACCGTGTTCTGAAGGGGTCATCATTTAGTCAAAAAGTGTTAAACATGATATTGAACTTGATTAAAATAAACAAACAGCAAAGACTCTCTTGATCTATTATAAAAGATAGACTGGCCTGCCTGTCTGATATCCGATATACAGCGTACGGTAAAGACAGGCAATACCAGTCTATATCATAAAAGTTCAACTGTATAAATATCGAATTTTACAATGTACTACTTGTCTAAATTCCTCACTTCCGGATTTATACGCGCCATCTAGGATTAGATCCAAAATTGTTCTGAAAGTTTCGGTAGAGAAATTAGTGCTTTCAGCACAACTTATTACACAATGAATCCAAATTTTCAAGATATAGGAACAGCTTTTGTGACCGCCTACTACCAGGCTTTTGACAGTTGTGGAAATAGTGAGGAAAGGGCCGCTAAACTGTCACAGTTTTATCATGTGAGCAAGCAGTTTGAGTCGTGCTAGTGAAAGTCTTATTATCTTAAACCAGTACTTTAATAAGCACTGAAGGCATACAGATCATATCATGCTGTGTTTCTTTAGTCATTTTAAAAGCAGTCTTTAGTTTATATTTATTAGGAAAAATTTTACATTGAAACTTTAAAAAACAGTTGGGAAAACACAGGTACTTGGGTCTTGGTTTACAAATATGTATGCACCTTATTGATATGTAAAAAAAAAGTAAAGGTATGCATGCTCTGTAAAGGTGTCTGCTCCACTCAGTTGTTTTCATGGCTTGTTCTTTGAAAATAAAGCTGCACGTACCGATCTTTATGCACCAGACGTCTCGGAACATCGATTATTTTTTGTAAAAACCCTCACATCTTGCAAATAAATCCTAATTTAAAGAAGAAAGGGCATATTGCTTTGCTGCTGTCTTTCGGTCTGTCTGTCTACCATCAGTTTCAGTTCATTTTCTTTGCAAATTAGGTTGCACTTAGGTTGCACATATTGAAATGAAATTCAATATACAGATTCATCATAAAAATATCTCGGTCAATTTGGCCTTAGAAAAACTGCAGTTATTTGCAGTTTTGGACTTTCCGTTCATTTTCTTTGCAGAGATTGCACATATTGAAATGAAATTCAGTATGCATATTTAACATAAAAATATTTGGGTATGAACAAGGCCATTTTTGACACTGTCCAATAATTTCATTTTTAAAAAAAAACATCTCTTGTTTAAGATACATGTATTCCAAGAGTATTTAGTTTACTAAAAGTTCATAGGTGTATTAATATATATTTTCTTCTTTATCCTTTTAACATGTGTTAGTTGTTGTGTTTTAAATGCTTATTTTATTTAATTTCAGCCTGAAGCTTTAATGATATTTGAAGATGATCAAAAACAAGGCAAAGAAGCAATTTGTGAAAAAATTAAGGTAATGACAGGTTATCCAAGGTAGTTAAATGCTATAATAGTAACTGCCTGTTTATTGATATGTTTTTACGAAAACTAAACTATAATTAAAGCTATAAAATGGGGAATGAAAATCGCTTTGCTATAATCGTCAATTCATCTTGAGTGTGTTTGCCATAACAGTGTTTTACTGTATGCATGAATATTAAGGTCAAGATCTAGTAAATGAAAGGTGTCTACAGATTTATCAAACTTGAGAAATAAATTCCTTTATTGATGCTTTACAACTTTAGCTTGGTCAAATAAGGTGTTTCGGGGCATAATTTGTAAGTAAACAAGATGAAAAACTGTATTTCAAACTGTCATTTTCAATGAAAAATTAAGAAAACCAGTCATGAATATGGGAGTTTTTTTCATATTCAGCAAAGGAAATGTATCAAGATTGCCTACAGTATCTCAGAAAACGGTAATTAGTTTGTTCATGGCCTTTTCTTTAAATCAATATCAAATTTAATATAGGTATCTTTACTTTTCATATGATTTCAGTGTGTTTTTTCTACATAATTCTGCTAAAGCCATAACAGAAAGTGAAATTGATTATGACGTCATATGGATCTAGCACCAAAAAATTAGAATTTTTTTTATTACCTTATAAATATTTTCTATTTTTCCTTTTTTCCAGAGCTTACCTTTCCAACAAGTACAACATGTGATAACCAAAACAGACTGTCAACCAACTTTGGATGGAGGAGTTTTAATTATGATCTTAGGCCAATTACAGGTAGGTTGGGTAAAAATTAATTGGAATATGAAGACAATATATGTGTACAAGGTTCATAGAGAAGTTTATGAAGCATATATCATTTCAATATAAAAATTCTGAGAAGCACATATTAATATAATTGTAATGTTATCTTTCAATATCTTAACCAGTTTGATGTAAATTACAATCTGCATTCAAGTATGGATAGCTTTATTCCAAGTCCTTAGGCTATAGGAAAAATACAGTTCTTAAAGAATATTGACACAAACCTAATGGTAATTGTATATTTAAAGAAAAATACAAAACATTTAAAACAGCTGCAATGCATATCTTTTCAATTTGATTGTGCAGAATTTACCAGTAAGATTCTTTTAATATCAGCAAACAATATATGAAATTTCAATGCATAACTTGTCTAGGGCCTCAAAAAAACTAGAGTGCACAGCTACTTTTTCCTATGAGTAAACAAAACAATTGTCAAATTCTGTAATTGGTTTATCTGTAGATATATTATCTTTTACAGGCAGATCAAGACAAACCATTAGGATTTTCTCATGTCTTTCAACTTCGTCCTGAGGCTGGGGGAGCGTTTTTCATTATGCATGAAATCTTCAGGCTAGCAGTCTACAATTTTGCAACGTAAAAAATTCTAAATAGATATGAATGAAGATTCCCAAGGCATGTGTAAAAAAGTATAAATGAAATTGCAAGAAGTATGTATTTTTTTCTGTCAGTGGCCATTGTTGTTAACAGGTGTGTTTATGCTGCCTTCTATTCACCTGCATTTATTAATGGAAGAGCTCCACTTTTATGTGGATCTTTTTTTGTTTTTGAGTGTATATTCTTTTTTAATGCTTTTTTTTGCCTGAAAAAATAAAATAACTCACAGTTAAAATGAATCAGATGATTGTATTAAAAAATGAAGTGAAGTATGTTACATGTACATAATTTGCTAATTACTGTTCTATCTCTGCATTTGATTATTATTTAATATTAAAATGAGACAATGCAAAACAAAAGTAAATGATCTACTTGTATCTAAACAATTTTGTAAGGAAACTTTTACACACAAATGTTTCTCAACCCTAATCATTATTAAACTTTCAATGAATTGAAATTGTTTTGTTTTGAAGGATTTTTGTGTGGAATTTTTACCTACTTTAGAGATTGATGTTATGAACTTTTCTATGTAAGAGCTACCAGTTACAATGATCAAACATTAATGGTTGTTCTTCCGTGAATTAGTGCTCCAGGTGCAAGAAATTTGGTGCAGTTTGAAACATTTAGATGGTGCAAATACAATGCCATTTTAAGTATAGAATATTTTCAATATTTTATAAATACATGTGTACTGTTCAGTGTTAAAGTAAGCCATAAGACCAAGAGCATGTAAAATGTAGTTGAACTTCAATATCTCAAACATTGATTTAGAAGGATTTTATTTAAGGTAGAGATAACAGATTGATAGGTTGTCAACAAATAAAACTTCCTACCCATTGAATATTTTCTGAATTTTTTTTATATGTGTTGAGTCCTTGTTCCAAATCATATCAAAAATTCAAGATAGGTCGTTTTCTTTTTGTATTTTAACCTCTTTATATTGAACCTTCCAATTTTTGGTTCCACTGAGGTTTGACTGTATTGGAAGAGAAGGTAATGCTTATTAGATTCGCCTTTTACTTGTACATGTACATGTAGCATGTTTTGTTGAAATTGAAGGAAGAACCAACTTTACAACTCGATGACTTACTAGGAGCATAATGCATAACTTTCTTTTGAGCCAAAAAATCTGATGTTTTATTTACCAGTATGTAAATTTTTCAGAAAATTGATAGGACACTATTATAAAAATGAAATAATAATGAACTGTTATTCAGGTGGATTAGTGTATCAATTGATTATTTTAGTGTTGTCAATACAATGTATAAAAGCAGGTAAACTCATTACGATAATTCAAGATGAGGTAGTTGGTTTTTTTCTTTGATTATGCACTCAGTAAGTTAGCTTGGAAAATTTTAGGTTAAGAATTCAAGAAGTTGGTAAAACAAAATGGGTTGTATACTTACTTGGTATGTATGTTTGATGATTCTGTAATCTATTCACCATAAACACAATAAATGGGTTGATTTTAATGTTTTGAACATTTTAATCCAATGGATGTTGACATGAATTCTTCAGTTAAACTCAGCTATTTTTATAGTAATTTGGTTGTGTAAGGAAATCTTTTAAGCTCTTGAGATGAACTTGAAAAATTATAGGTTAATTTTTTTGTTTAAGTATTCTTTTGCTTCATATAACTGACATATAAAAACATAATGTATAAAATGCTTTCAAAATTTATAAAAATACATGTATTTGTTTGTGTAGAATATGTAGGCTTTCAGTTTGTAAACACAATATTGTTGAAATCCTGTACTCGTATGTCCTTACTGCACCACTGAAATCAATAAAATTCCTAATAAAATCACTTCTGTTATTCTTTAAGAAGGAAAATGAGTGATCCTGGGATAAATGTAAATTGATTGTTAGCATTTAAAGTATATACTGTAAACCTGCTATTATGAAATTCACGTCATCTTTTATGCGCTATTTGTCTGGTTGAAATCTATCCGCGACGATTAATTTTTGCAACAGAGGAACATTGTTTACAAATACTAAGCAAAATTATTTGTTCATGGTGATTAATATTCACGATTAATATTCGTGAGTTTAAGTCTGTCGCGAAACTCACGAATATTTCTCGCACATGAATAAAAGTTGGTTTACAGTAATACTTATCAATCCCAAGGGAAATGTATCTTATTTTAATTTAGAGGCAGTTATCAATCTATGTTCCAAGGAAAAGATGACCATGGGTCACAACACTCTCCGAGTTACAAATACCTGAAGATGATGAAAATAGAAACCTTTTATTATAGCCATCAATCAGAAATCCATGGCTTCAATGATTTTAATTTTAGAATATTTAAGCTTGAGTTTTAGTTTGGAAACTTGGCTTTGTTGTCCTTGCAGAAGGTTATTTAACGGCTTTGTTACTTTGGCTCACCTAGGACCCTGAGACTTTGATTTGAATTAATACAGAACATATAAATTCTTACAGTAGATTGTCTTATGAAATGAATATCGTATAAACCCTATTAACTGCCCCGGGCGCTTAGAGAATTGCAAAAAGGGGGGGGTGTATTGGTATATAGAAATAAATTTAAAGAATCTCTAAAATAATGTCTAACGAGATACCACATTTTTGAGATATATTTTTCATTTGATTTAAAGTAAAGATAATTCACCTAAAGTATGCTAAATAAATCATTTTCCACCAAGAAATTGGATAATAAACAAGTTTCATTTTCAATTCCTTCAAATTTTTGCAGACTTTTGATATGATCCTAGTCTTTCTAGATAATTTTAATCAATGTACAGGGGGCCCTTATTTCCTTACAATTGAAAAAGACCTAATGGGGCGCTTATAGGGGCAGGGGCGGTTAATAGGGATTATACGGTACCAAGTTTTTGTAATCTAGGTCTTGAGAAAATTTTGACTCTTGTTGGACAACGTAATGATTACTCTCCTGATGACTTAATTCCTGTTGTATAAATTGAATCTAGGGTGATGATGCTTGCATGTGAAAGATTGACCCCTCTTCTAAAAAAAAAACAAAACAAATTATCTTCCTTTAGACTCCAATGTAAAATCGACTATATTGTAATTCCAAGATTGCTCAAGGGCTATTATTTGAACAAACTATGCTTTTGTTTTTTCTTTACTGACTTGCTGGTTATTGAAAAGATATTTATTCTATTCCACTAATTTTCAGTTTTCAAAAGGTAGACTCTTGATGTAGGAGGTCAGAGGTCAAATTCTGTCAACCGATCAAATCGTCGCCTGCAAAATCATTGTGTATTGTTGAAGTGAATAAATTTAGAGCTGTTCCGAAATTGACCTCTGACGTGACCCTCAATGGGATGTTGTTAGATGTTAGTGCAGCGAGTATGCGAGCAGATCTAACATCTAATTCTAATTAGATTGGATGTATTATTCATGGAAGTGAACTTAATGAAGCAAGGTATATACTAGATTGACCTCACCTGTCTGTGACATAAACACTTCTGGATTTGTATGTTTGTCGTTTAATGTCCCCCTTGAAAATTGTTCACTACATGGAGGCACCACCACTTGTCGATGGCGAGCTGCAAATTTTTTTCTTATTCTCGACACTTAAGCAATTGGACAGTGAGGGATCTATTCATGCCAGCACCTACTGTGACATGGGGACCACTGTTTATACAGTCTAATCAGAGAGACCAGTCTCCACATCTCACATTGGGATTCGAACCCATGATTCTGTGACCCTAGAAAAGACCACCACTGGGCCACAGAAGCAACCAGAAGGATTGATTTTATCAGCAGTGAACCAACAAAAAAGATTTGAAACAGCTAATGCTTTCTGAAAGTTTATTTTCTATACATAAAACTTAAAGACATATCAGTTTTTACATAAAAGATTGTTCAGTGAAGAATTATGCCACAGTAGTGTTAACATAATTGAGATTCTAAACTTCTTTCTTGCTTTTCTTTCATATACATGTAGTATAATTTCAGATTAAACAAATACAAACATTTACGAAAAAAAAAATTACCTTTCTGAATAATAAATCTTATTTCTTATAAAAGACTTAAATTAAATTTGCTTCAAAATACACAAGTCAGAAGTACATAAGAGTAATATGGTTAATAATGTGTGTACAGTAATATTTAAGAAAGTTCTATGTGTATATGGTACATGTATTTTTTAATTCCCTATGTCCTCCCAACAGGTCAGATAATCCATTTTTCCAGAAAAACTTTTGCATAAAATTTGTATATACAAGAAAAAAAAAAATCATACATACATACTGAAATAGATCAAGGTCTTTATATTAATATAATAATAATTAATACATAATTTATAGATGCATGGTGAAAACTACAACAACTTCATTATGCATCCATCTACAATGCTCAACTGAATAACTTTGGCCCTGCTATTTTTCTTCATTTTTTTAAAAAGATCACATTATTTACTACTACTTGAATTATGAAATTCCATTCCACATTCCCAATGGATCATGCATTGTCGTCACTTTAAGTCAATTCTTCTAAATTCACACGAAGAAAATTGTCCAATAGCAGAAATTTACTGGTAGGTAACAATCAATCTTCTAGTATCGAGCTACTAATACAAGCATAATTTGTTGAACAATATATTTCTATAAGTAATAGATTATACTATAAATACATTTGAACTATTGAAACCTTAAGTCTATGCAAATAAGAAGATTAATTCATAACAGTTGTCAATAAAATGTACAAGGTAATCAAAATGAATATAAAAATTGATTTGATTTTTGCTGGAAAATCTATCATGTCACAGAGATTGAAAAATGAGGCTTGGCAGTGCTTTCTGACTTATTTACATGTATCTGTACCATTTCCTTCCATATAATGTACATACAAGGAAAATTTTACCCTTCGTCCTTCAACAGAGACAGAGTTATCTCTCTTTCACGCAATTGTTTGCATGCAAAAATAACATTACATGGGCAAAAATAATCTTGTATACAGTATATAACATATAAGTGTTGAGCCATTTTTATCTTCAAGGGAAACGGCATACACGTACTAAAAATAAATATGTTTGATAAATTAGTCATTTAGTGCACTATAATTTGTAGATATATATATGCTATTAAAATGTGCATTTAAATATATGTAATAATGAAAATTGACAAAAATATGCATTCAAAAAAAAATTGTGTATCACATTGCTTGACTAGACAACACAATATCATATGTGTACATGTATGGACTGAGGATAAATTGTGCCATTTATAAGACCAGTATATATTTCACAACAAAATATACAAAAGCTGCTTTGTAAGAGTAATTATTATCTTGAAAAAAAAATGCTGCATTACATCTCCAGTGATTATTACATGAATTATGATTGTACGTTTAAGCAAGGTGCTATATTCAAGGAAACACATTACAGATAATGCTACCTTTAAGTCCATTAATATGTGTATTATGAGTATCTAAATATCAGATCAGGTAATATATAATGATGCCTTTAATATTTACAACTAACTTTTAAATTGACAAGAAAATGTTTATAAGATAAAATCAATTTTTCACAGAAATTTCACTTAGAGGGGTCCTTACAGGAAATTTTAAAAATATGATGGGGTAGGAATTTAAAGGGGGGTTTAATTATCATAGCAAATTTTTCAGATAAAATTAATTTCACAGTCAGAGAGTTAATACATGGAAATACTTACAAGGAAGTTACAATATAAAATGTGACAAATTCAAAGATATTGGGGGTGGTGGGGAGGTAACTATTAAAGCATACCGTATAATCCCCCGGGCGCTTAGAAAATTTCGAAAAGGGGGCGGTTATTTTGGTATTCTCTTTATATTATTTAATGTCATTCTTATACTTAAAATTTTTTAAAGAACTACTAAAAATAATGTCGAACTTTACTTTAGGTGAAGATAATCCACCCAATTTATGCGATATGATTCATTTTCCACTGAGAAATTGGATTATAGACAAGTTACATTTTCATTTTGTTCAAATTTTGGCAGACTTTTGATACGATTCTAGATGATTTTAATCACTGTACAGGGGGCCTTAATCACTGTACAGGGGGCCCTTATTTTCTGATAATTGAAAAAAGATCTAGGGGGCGCTTATAGGAGCAGGGGCGGTTAATAGGAATTATACGGTATATTTCATCAATGGCTATCTGTAGCTACCAGTAAAATCTGATTCAACAGTAACACTGAGTAAAGGTAGACTGAACAGCCAATCAGCCATTTTTGCTCTCTATATCCAATCTGTTAACTCTGATTACAAAATCCCATAACCATTGATAATATATATACTTATAGATACATAATGTAAAATAATTCACTAAAGTGAAGTATGTTAAATTTAGTTTCAATATCATTATACCTCACTATTTATAATAAAATATGACCTAGTTAAAATAACATTCAAATTAATTTTTTGTACACCTAATATTCTTTTATGATAAGAATTAATGCATTGAGATCATTCATTTCCATTTTTTCCCCCAATTTCTTCATTTCTGTGGGTATAACCAACCCACAAATTCAAATCCTCCTTGAAATTTAAAACTACAGTATAATAATTATTCTTCAACTCAAAACAAATCCTCACAAATCGATATTTTTTCTTTGAACAAAACTTTGACCCTACACAAATAAGGAATTTAATAGTATTTTGATGTAATATTAACCTTCCAGACTTGTTTCTATAGGTTAATTAACTTAAAAGTAATAAAATCATTAATAATCTTATCATATAAAAAAATTATGATCTCATTCTTTTGCAATCTGGTGATATGACATGTTGTTATGAATTATGATTGCTTTTGACTCATTATGTTATTAACTGCCTTGTATTAAAGCTACATATTAACCCTGAGCTATATATTTAATTTTTTTGTGTAGTAAATTGGTATTAAACCCTTGCTCACTGGACTGAGTAAGCACTGCGTCTCATTGAAGGGGACATAAACGAGTTTGGATCAGGTTCCTCTTGTAAAACCTCGACCTTGACCCATTGCTTAGTTTTACTGGACTTGCGAATGGCTTCCACAACAGACTGTACGTACAGGGCATCCTCAAAATTTGCTGCTGGTCTTACAGGGTCTATGCAGTAGCTCTGTCTCTCTTCTTCTTTGTCAAATGCTTCTTTAACAGCTTCAATAAACTGTATGATGCCCTTTAGATATGGAGTGGGGATGAGAGTGCGAGTTTTTTCAGATACTCCATGTCTCTCCTCTTCTTTGAAGTTGATGGGGTCAAAGTGCAGCAATGATTCTTTTGACTGGTCATTTTTCTGACCATACAGATCTGCTCCTTTAGCTATAAGTCTACCTTTGTTTCCTAATATCATAATTTCTTGTTGAAAAGGTCCTGGAATATGTCCATTGATTGTGGCAGTCACACAGGACCCCTGATCAAGTTCTATCTGAAAAGTACAAAAATCATCACTTGTTATCTCCCGAATGCCCTTAATTTTCTCAGTTTGCTTAGTGAAAGTTTTAAGCATGCCATGTGCTTTTGTTGCCCTTTGACCTGTGAGATAACCAATCACATCAATGATGTCACTGCCAATCTCATTCAAAAGACCACCTCCCATAGTGCCATCACACATCCAGTCAAACTGATCCCTCTTAGCTTTTTCAAAGTGAACTTTGACTTCACAGACATTTATGTCTCCTACATAGCCATCCAAAATCAGCTGCTTCATTTTGTCGATAGCTGGAAGAAACCGCAATCCATAAATAGTAAGGGACATCAAACGAGGGTAATATTTTGCAGCGTTTACCATGCGTAAGGAGTCTACTTGGTTTGGTCCTGCAGGGGCACCACAAATAACATGTTTTCCAATTCCTGGTAAAAAAAAACAATTACAGATTTATTATCTACCATAGATCCTTGAAATAACTAGTTACCTTTGTAAAGAAACTTAAGTGATGATGCTCCAATAACATGTTTAACTTAAATGGGTTGTATCGGGGTAATCACTCAGACTAAACACATAACTGAAATGTATACATGCATACTCCATTTGTAGCTTTTGCTGATTGAAGTTATACATTAAACATAAAACACAATGTCAAACATATTTGGGATCATATTGTTCAAAGAAAAGACATTTCTTTTAGCTGTCATCAAAAATGATGTAGAAGCACTCATCTTTAGGAACAGAAAACCTCCATGTGTATTAATTAACTAGTACTGTCAAAACGGGACAAAATACCGCCCGCTGGGTTTTTCAGAAGTGCTAAATCATGAATATTATATGGATCTAAGAGAAGAGAGAAATGCTAAAACATTTTTAGTGCAAATGTAATTGCTCATTATATTTTTTATAAATGAAATGAAGGTGCAGCCTAATAAAAAAAAGACTAAATAGACTAAATATACGGAGACACGAATTATGAACTTTTCTGTCAGTGACCTTGAACTTGCATAAATGACCTTGGTTCAAAGTCATGACACAACCTCAGGTCATAAGCAATGTTTGTGTGAAGTAGTAGATTCAAGTTTTTCCATAATAAAGAAAGATATGGACCGGACACAAATTATAAAAATTTTCTTCCAGTGACTTTGAACTTCCCCAAATGACCTTGATCCGAGGTCATGACACATCCTTAGGTCATGAGCAATCTTTATGTGAAATGAGAACTTACCAAGTTTATCCATAAGAAAGATAGGGACCGGACAGGAATTATGAAATTTTTCTTCCAGTGACCTTGAACTTCCCCAAATGACCTTAGGTCAAGGTCATGACACATCCTTAGGTCATAAGCAATCTGTGTGAAATTAGAACCTACCAAGTTTATCCATAAGAAAGATATGGACCGGACAGGAATTATGAAATTTTTCTTCCAGTGACCTTAAACTTCCCCAAATGACCTTGGGTCAAGGTCATGACATACCCGTAGGTCATGTGCAATTTTTGTGTGGAGTAGTAGATTGTAATGTTCCTCCGTAAGAAAGATATGGACCGGACACATTTGCACAGACAGACGGACCGACGGACAAGGTGATTCCTATATATCCCCCAAACCTCGTTTTCAGGGGGTATAATTAACGTACCAAGAGCCTTGACAGCTATTGGGGCTTGCATGTGAGGAGCACATGTTACTGCAATGATGTCCACATCCTTGTTCAATAAAACCTGACAATAAAAATGTCTTCAGTGAAAAATATCTACAAATGTTGGTTACCATAGTTACAGTTCTGATAAATATCAAAAAACAATGACAAGTTGTCTGGTTATTAAAAAAATGGAAAGTACAGTATATTGCAGAAAACTATGTATACCAACCTCATCAACATTACTAGAATGAAAGGGAATGTTGAGTTCTGCTGCAACTTTTGCAGCATCTTCTTTCGTTCTCCCCCATAACGCCACAACTCTGAAGCCGTATGATTTCAAAAGTGGGACATATGCCCTGACCGAGTTCGGGGTTCCCACGACTCCGAATCCAGGTAGCATTTTCCGCATGTCTGCTGCTTACGCAGTGACGTTTAAATTTCCCAAATAGACAAATCCATCAAAGAGACCTCTCTGCAACTTTGAAATCCATAATTTGAGGAAGTCTTTTTTTCACGGTCGATGTGATTCGCATGCTTGAAAATGATTGAAGAGTCTTCATCGTTTAAAGCGTTTGCACGATTCCGACTAAATTTCGGAAGATACTAAAGACCTGATATACTAAAGACCTGATATTGACCTGATGAAATAAAAATTAATATAATTTATTTGTTTTCTGTGTTTAACATTATGTTTTGGTTTTGATTATATTTCTGGGGTATAAGACAGATATTCTGGCATAATTATTTGTAAAAATATTGGTATAATTATGCGCAACGAGCCACAAACTACGGAAATGGCTTGACCTGATATTTTTTTAATGGAAATAAAGACTTATGAATTCTCCGTGTTTTTTGGTTTTTATCGTTATGTTTTGGTTATTTTTATATTTCTAGGGTATAAGACAGATATTTAGGCATACTTATTTGTAAAAATATTGGTATAATTATGCGTAACGAGCCACAAAATACGGAAATGGCTTGACCTGATATTTTTTATTGACCTGATATTGACCTGATGGAAATAAAAACTTATAAAATCTCCGTGTTTTCTGAGTTTATCATTAAATTTTGGTTATTCTTATATTTCTAGGGTATAGGACAGATACATTAGGTATGTTTGGGTTAAAAATATCGGTATAATTATGAGTAACGAGCTGTAAAGCAAGAAAGTGTATTGACCTGATATTTTCTATTGGCCTGATCATGCTGATAGAAATAAATTCTCCGAGTTTTCTGTGTTTATCGTTATGTTTTGGTTATTTTTATATTTTGGGGGTATAGGACAGATATTTTAAGCATAATTATGTTTAAAAATGTTGGTATAATTATGTGTAACGAGACATAAACTAGGAAAATCGTTTGACCTGATTTTTCCATTGACCTGATAGAAATAAAAACATATAAATTCTCCATGTTTTTCTGTGTTTGTTTTTCTCTTATTCTTATTTTTTTATTTCTTTCTGTACAGAAAATATAGTCCGTCATTTGACAAAATTTTTGAAACTCAAAATATGGATTTTATTATCGTAAAAGATTAATACTGATAAAGATATCTTTTTATGTCTTGTTCAGAATTTGTTAAATATACTTACTTTGGTAGTAAAAATTTAATACTATCTTGACAGTCTACCTATTCCCACTTTTTTGAAAATCATGTAGAAAAAGGTAAGATTTAATGTGGGAATAGGTGGAATTTTGGGTAAACAAATAATTAACTATGTTCTTAAATCTAGGTATTAAGTTGCTTTTTCTTGTAATATCTTTTTATTATTTTAAAATTCTGAAATAAATCATATTTTCTCATAGATGTATTCATTATTTTCTGTCTTAAAATGTACAAAATACAGGTAAATCTAAACATCTATTCTTATTTGCAAGTGGGAATAGGTGGAATTGAGATTTTTAAAAAGTAGGAATAGCTAGAAGACACCATCTTGACGAGAGTGTCAAAGGGTTTTTCTCCTGTTGTTGTAGTCTGGTCCCCTTCCCACAATTCCGTTCGCGCACTCTCTACATTGAGGTCAGGCATCGGTTGATTCACTGTTAGACGTTGCGCAATTTCAAAATGGAGGACAAAGTAAGTAACCATCTCGAGAAATAATTGCTCATATCTATTTGTTTTACATCATGACAACTTATTTCATCAATGCTTACTGTTAACCAAAGTTGTTTTCTATTTATTTTTTTACTCATTTGATTTATTTTGCGTAAATTTACACTGTTATCACTGGTTTAAAAAATGTTTACATTTTAAGAACGTGGAGGTAGTCAAAATTGACCCCCAATATTTCCTTTGTCGTGGACCGACATCAAAATTTTGTTGTCTAGTCTAATGTATATATGAATGATCTATGTTAGGATATACAATGTTTTATATGTCGCTCCTTATTTAATATAGTAAAAGCACCCCAGATTTTTTATCATAATTCTATCAACAATTAGCATGTGCTCTGGCCTACTATTGCATATATTTGACATAAAACAAAGGTTTAATGTTTCTATATTGTTTGTATTTTGCTTTTTACACACATCACAACAATTCTCACTCACAGTCTCAAACTGTTATCCAAAGTATCCAGTCAGAAACTGTCTTCTGAAGGTGTTACACCTAACAAATTTTTTCATGTTATAATCTTGAGTTAGATTTTTAGCAAAGAAAATTTTTTCCAAATATTTTACTAATTATTGACGATTCCCTAATACACATACATTTATATTTGTCTTAGATATTTTTATATCTTTTTTTTTTAAATTGTATAATGCTGTGGAATTATTTTGATGTGACTGTGGAGGTCAGTTTTTGTGGACAGACATAAATATATAATTTTGTTTTGTGGACAGGACATAATTTATAAAGGTTAACCAAACAATAATTAAATGAATCTGTGGACTTATAAAATATCCAAATAAGCATTTGTGGAAATAAAAATGTAGCTGATTCACTTGATGTTCAATCCAAAAATGTTAGTCCTCCTTCCTCAAACAATGATGATTCCATAGAAGAATTATGAATAGCTGCAGAACTGTAACTCTCTAAAAATATATTTTGACAGACCTGAGAGCTACAGTACCACCCACTGAAAGAACTGTATATTTATTGTGGACAAAATTTGTGCTTGCTTCTGTATTAATTCTTCCCTACTTCTCTTAGTATCAAGTACTCTCGTAGTTTACAACTGCATGAAGCATTGCAAGACCGAAATATTTTGCAAACCAAAGTGGTAGTATAAACGCAAGTGAGTTAAGGCTAAATATGGATATTTTTATGCAAATAAGCTTATGAAAATTCATAATTTGTATATTTTAGGTACAGAGAAGGTTCAAATTGATTTTCTTATACATACTTAGTACCCACAGTTTATAATTGCAAGTGCACATTATGACGTCATATTATGACGTCATTGTTCTCTCCAATTCAAGGTATTAAATCATATAAACAAAATCAAGTCGGCGCAAGGGCCTATCCTATCTAATTTAAAAAAAACAATGTATAATATTAAGGTGAATATTCTTAAAATTAATAAAATTGCTGCACAAATCCTATGCACTTTCTCAATTGATAAAAATTTTATGAAACTTACCCTGGACAGTGAATTTTTACCCTGTTAAAACTTAAAACTGCACGAATAGTAAGTAACCAATTGCACTGCTGACATTTGTGCAGCAATATCTTAAATCCTTGGAATATCCTGCGTCTTTTGATACTTTGTTTCTGTAAAACAAAGTAAGGTATGCCCTTGCGCCGAAGCGATTTTGTTGATGTTTCTTTTAAACTTGTGTAGTACAGGTCGATGACGTCATAGTATGACGTCATAATGTGTACTAGCTACTGCATGTCTTGGGTACCACGAATGTATTTGAAAACAAGTCTTAGCATTTTCTGTACGGTATGTAGAGCAATTATGGAATTTAATTAGATATTTCATATAGAAATTTCCATTTGTAGCCTTAACTCACATGCGAATAGACGAAATTTTCAATGATCTCAATTTCAGGTCCAAGAGGGCTACTAACATCAATTATAAGGAATGTTTTGTTGTGAAAACAGTGAAAGAATATGTTAGGAACACATGGTTAGTAATATTTTGAGATGACGGTTTAAAAACATGGAGAAATAAATCAGGAAACATTTCTTGTGCGCTATATACAGTTTTTTTTCAATAGGTGGCACTGTAGCTCTCAGGTTTGCCCCCAATATTTTTTTCAGAGAGCTACAGTTCTGCAGCTAATAGAAAAATAGAGTTCTACCTGTTTAAAATAGACAGACAAAGTAAATCCTCATTATTTTTCCATGAATTAAGACTTCTGCTATGCAAAGGAAAATAATACTGTGCTTATTGCTATCATGATTTTATTACAGCTTGTTTAATAACAGATTTTAAATAAGTCTCAGAATCAATTACTTTGAACATAAAACACTTTGACACTACAGGATAACTGATGCTGCATGGTGTCCATGTTATGAAAAAGAAGATATGAAACAAAAGCCCGTGAGAAAATGTCAACATCAATCATTTATGAATGAAGATGGAGTCTCTAGCCTAAAATTTCTTGAGATAATCAGTGTTGTCTGGTTCATCCAATCAGAATGATCACTCCATTTGCAGACTATCAGGTATTCTTTGGTTCTGTCAATACTTTGGACCTGAGAAAAAATATTGATTCAACATATTTTAATCCGACATACAGATTTCAGTGTATGAAAATACTTTAAGAAGGTCTGTCAGTATGTAAAGTAAAATTTCAAGGTATAATAAAAATTCAGATCATGCTTATCATATTACAAGTACAAGTAACATGAACCGTTTACCTATTTAAAAAATGCATTTACATGGTCATTTCTCATTTTCAGGTTCCAATCTGAAGTATACAAGGGAAGAGTAAAATCTTTTTCATTCCTATTTACAAACACTTACTAGATCCAGAAGAATATCCTGATTGTTTTGTGCACCATAAGATGAATTTCAATCTGACACATAATTCTGAAAAATTGAGTGGAACACCATGATCACTGGATGGTCTTCTTCAAGCTGGCATGTCTTTGTCACAATATCTTGACTCTGCATTGCCATCAAAACTTTGCATTCCTTAAAATACAAAGACAATTTTTATAAACTAAAACAACAGACTTGATAAAAAGGCTAATATTAAAAAAAACGTGTCATTATTTACCCCATTTTTTTCCTTTTTAATTATTTTATGAAATTAAAACCCTTGCAAAAATTAGAACCTGCGACTTACTGTCAAGCAGAGGTGTCCGGAAATAAGATAAACAGCTCCTTTAAGTTGAAGAATGCCGAGAATATCTGAATGCTATGGATTCATGGTGTCATCATACTGTATATATCCACCACTGAAGCCTAAGATATAAATGTTCGAAAGTAATTATAGTGATCATATTTCTGGTACAGTGACAGCAAATTTTAAGTATTTTGTGAATAAAAAAATTGAATCCACAGCTTTTGATTTAATTTGATTGTTTGTTTACATTTGCTTGAAAATTAAATTAAATTAGAAATAGTGGTAAATCTATTTCTGCATTATTTACCGATAGGACAAACCCCTCCTTGGCGGTAGATACAATATTTTCCTGCAGGCCAGCTTGGCGAAATTCTATTTTCTTCCGTTTTCTTCTAAGCAAAAAATTTTTAAAATGTAGAGGTGGGCTTGATGTCAGCATTAAATGTGGAACTTGTGTGGTCCATCCTGGTGTCTTTAATATGATGTGTAAAACTGCCTTCATAAAAACCCACTGGGACAGCCAGTTACATGTATCCAGGTACTTAATCTGGTAAAGGTGTCAGACGGCCATTTTGTTGAAATCATTCGATCTGAAGAAATAAATATTAGGTACCAAAAGCTTTTCTGAAATTAATTCATCTTATTCTTTAATCTATATAAGATATACATGTATTTGTTACATTTGCCTCTGTTTTGCTAGGTTGAAGTAAGGACTTATTTGACCTTGACCTGAGTTGACCGTGCCTTGGAGAAATAACATAAAAAAGTCATGATGGAGCTAGTCTTTTGGCACTCCAAACTTTTATGCGGAGTATGCAGATTCAATTTGATGTAAAATACAATCTAATTAAAATTAGATGTTAGATCTGCTCGCATACTCGCTACACTAACATCTAACAACATCCCATTGAGGGTCACGTCAGAGGTCATATTCTGCCAACCAATCAAATCGTCGCTGGCAAAATCATCGTATATTGTTAAAGCGAATAAGTCAAGAGCCTTTCCGAAATTGACCTCTGACGTGACCCTCAATGGGATGTTGTTAGATGTTAGTGTAGCGAGTATGCGAGCGGATCTAACATCTAATTTTAATTAGATTGATGTAAAATAATGAAGGAATTTTTGAAAATAAAAGAACATTTTTAAATTTTTTGTACAATTTTCTATCATTACCGGACTTTCAGAAAAGTGTGGCATTCTCGACACTACATGTAGTTAAAGTATCCCAAATGGCAAATAGATTCTCATTTGTTAAGAAATTAATAACATCAGAACTTAAAATTTTTGTTGACGACAATGAAATGACCTAAGTCATACCTCTTTGCCGTGCGAGATGCTGTTATTGAGTATTTGTTACACTCGTTGACATTCTCCCAAATTTTTTCCCCTATATATTTCAACAGAGAATGAAAGCTTTGTAAATTTCAGATGCTTAATATGTAACATCTAGAACACCACACCTTATTGAAAGCCAAAGGAAAACAGAGCATTGTATATGTACTAAGTTAAATACCCCCCATCAAAATGAGTCGGACATCCGGTAGAGAGATCCAGACCCTCCGGACAGCGACAAGTACATGTGTCCTTGTCAAAGGCGGGGTTACCAGAGTTGGCACAGGTCAAAGAGAAACTGGTACACTGGTACACTTCAGACCTATAAACAGAATATAGTGAACTGAACATAAAGCGAAGAGCATTACCTAATACAGTAAAACTCGGTTTTACAGAAATTACATCCTATATCCTTTTAAAATTCCTTACATCCATTTTATTCATTATATATAAGGAATTTGCTTAATTTATATTGCTGAGAATACAAGATAACTTCTCTATTCTGTGAATTCACAATATCCATCATGGCATATTTGTATTTAACAAGTTTAACTGTATGAACTTTGACTTGCTTTTTGAGTCCTGATATACACCATATTAATTTGCATATTATTCCTTTTGTAAATTTGTAAAATAATTTATAATTAATTTGACTTACTCTCCTCATAGCTCATATCATTTGAACTGATAAATCTGTTTCACGGTTTTATCTGCATTGTTGTCTGTTCATTGAATTGTACTTGCAATAAGATTGCAACCATGCAATGACTTGGAGAAAAGGACAAACATTTTAAGGAGTGCAAGATTAATTTAAACAAATTACTCTGCAAGTTTAAACTGTACCACCTTATAAATGGGCTGTTGAGGGGTTGTTCCTGTTGGGCTTCCATGCTCTCATATGGCTGACCATCATGTCTTTAATACAGGGAATTTGTTTTCGGTATCCTGGTAAATTTTATGAAATTTATGCAATGAACGATGGAAAAGCCTAAAAAAGAAACATACAAAATAGAGATATTTATGATTATCTGAAAGCTATAATGAACCTGTTACAACATAAAAAGGATTGGTACATTTTTCAAAATGTATTGCCTTGACAAGTTGGCATTACAGTTCAATGTATGAAAAATTATTATGTATGCAAGGATATTAATAGATTGTGGTGACCTACCAAAGTAGCACCACCTCTAACTGCTAAACATCTGTATAGTGGTGGGATTCACTTCCACAAGCCTTCATGAAAATTACATATTACTATTAGACTCACGCTATCATGTAAATATTATGCTGGGTAAAGTGGAAGGAAATTAAGGTACCAGCTAGGGGAATCATAATAAAACAAAATAAATACACAGGGGTTTTAATCCCTTCCCCTTTTCAGCTTTTATGATGATTGCATGGACAGCAAAATACAAACAGTATAGAAACATTAAACCTTTGTTTTATGTCAAATATATGCAATAGTAGGCCAGAGCACATGCTAATTGTTGATAGAATTATGATAAAAAATCTGGGGTGCTTTTACTATATTAAATAAGGAGCGACATATAAAACATTGTATATCCTAACATAGATCATTCATATATACATTAGACTAGACAATAAAATTTTGATGTCGGTCCACGACAAAGGAAATATTGGGGGTCAATTTTGACTACCTCCACGTTCTTAAAATGTAAACATTTTTTAAACCAGTGATAACAGTGTAAATTTACGCAAAATAAATCAAATGAATAAAAAAATAAATAGAAAACAACTTTGGTTAACAGTAAGCATTGATGAAATAAGTTGTCATGATGTAAAACAAATAGATATGAGCAATTATTTCTCGAGATGGTTACTTACTTTGTCCTCCATTTTGAAATTGCGCAACGTCTAACAGTGAATCAACCGATGCCTGACCTCAATGTAGAGAGTGCGCGAACGGAATTGTGGGAAGGGGACCAGACTACTGTTGTTGTGTATACACACTGCCTAATCGGTAGACAGACTACTCGGCCCAACGACACCTCGGCCCGTGCTGGTTGACACCTCGGCCCTGACAGGTCGGCTCAAAATCATTGACACCTCGGCCCATACCGAAGACTGCTCGGCCCGTTAGGAATAAAATTAAAATTAGTTTGTTTAAATTAGTTTAATTTTTTTTTACTTTCTATGCCACGGTAATGTAATGTACTATGTATATTTAATCACTATACGTATACTATAAATATACGATAATTTCAATATTTCAGTATTTTCTAACAAACCACAGCACAACATCAAATTACAATCTGTTGATTGGGAGGTACATGTATTAGGTCTACACAGAAGTTTATGTCCTGGTTTTCAAGATTTATTGATTTAAATTGTTTATTATATATATATATTTTACTGTTTCATTTTAAAAACTCATAGGCCTATTTTTTTCAAATCAATTTAATAAAATATTAACAAGGGTTTCTTAAAGAAATTTTTCATTAACATGAGTAAGTCTCCCAATTATGGCTTCTCGTAATTAACTCCTCATAGTCACCACCCCATATGACACGCGCTCGAGACTCCAAAAGGATGCACCGTGTCTTCTTGTTTGTTTAATGATTAGCACTTATGATCAAGTTACTAATGGATTATCTTTCTTTAATTACCGTCAATTTGCCGTCTAGTACGCGTCTTGGAAGATTGCAAATGTATCAAATTAACTTTCTTTTGCATTTCATAGATATATAGCAGCATCAAAAATTAATATATTTAACTAAAATATTATATTTGATTTTCTGTTTGGGCCGAGGTGTCTTTTATGTGAGCCGAGGTGTCTGCAAATTTGGGCCGAGCCGTTGGAGCCGAGGTGTCAATGGGCCGAGGTATCGTTGGGCCGAGGTGTCGTTGGGCCGAGCAGTCTGACATTCGCCTAATCGATAGGGTTTGTATATACAGTGATCAGATATACACACCTGTGTTCTGACAATTAACAATGCCCCCACATGTTTTGATAAGCACCGGAATGTATAATCAATTGAAAATTTATTAAGAGATTAAACAATGTTTCTCTCTAATTAAGAAAAAAAAATTGATTCCATAAACACTGATAGTAAAAATTCTTTGTGATCATTAAAATATTTGTGAAGTTTTCTATATATTTCTTTGATTTTTATAAAATCTTAATAATTATCGACAGATTATCCTCGATTATCAGGCCATTCATTAAAAATATCAGGTCATGCCGTAAAAAACATCTAATTTGTGATAATCGGCATATATTTGATAATAATTAGATATGTCTTAATTCTAGGAGAAAAAAATAAATTAAATATACCAGGCATTTTAAAATCATCAGGTCGTCCAATAATATAAGTGCATTGGAATTATCAGGTCTTTAGTAATAATGATCAAGTCATATAAAAATAATGTCATTTTCTTGATTTGCATCTAATATTTATATGATTTAAAATAACATACTTATATTATAGTAAAACTATGCAGTTGAACTATATATTGTCAATCATAACATAAATTTAACCATATTTATCAGGTTAATAAAAATAATCAGGTCAATTGATCAGGTCAACGTTTTCTGCGAATATTTCATAAAATTGTATCAAATATTTATATGATTTAATATAAAACACTTATATTAGAGTAAAACTATGCAGTTGGACTATATATATGGTTAATTATAACATAAATTTAACCATATTTATCAGGTTAATAAAAATAATCAGGTCATTCAAAATATGTCAGGTCGACGTTTTCAGCGAATATTTCATAAAACTGCACCAAATGTTTATATGATTTGAAATAAAACACTTATATCATAGTAAAACAATGTAATTAAAATATATATGGTCAATTATAACATAAATTCAAGCATATTTATGAAGTTAATACAAATTATCAGGTAATTCAAAAATTATCAGGTCAATTGAAAATTATCAGGTCAACGTTTCAGCGAATATTTCATAAAATTGCATCAATATTTTATATAATTTGAAATAAAACACTTATATTAAAGTAAAACAATGTAATTAAAATAAATATGGTCAATTATAACATAAATTCAAGCATATTTATGAAGTTAATACAAATTATCAGGTCATTCAAAAATTATCAGGTCAATTGAAATTTATCAGGTCAACGTTTTCAGCGAATATTTCATAAAATTATGCATGTTTTATTAAATAAAGTATATTTTATCATTGAATTATGGTTAATAATCAATTATTAGTTTTGAAAAATCATAAACAACTCATAATTTTCTAATATTATTAAAAAAAAATTCCATCAGGTCAATATCAGGTCTTTAGTATATCAGGTCTTTAGTATGTCCCCTAAATTTCGTACAGGTTCCGAATGTACTTTCGTTTTATCTTGTTACAAAACATTCCTCACAAAACAGCTCAATTTGTTTTGCTTAAAATTGACAGTGACAGTTAAAAAGGTAAGCATTTCAGCACAGATAAAGATGATATTAAACTCCGTCGACGTGAAGAAACCGTTTTTTAATCCAATGGTAGAAACAAGTCAATGAAGTGAAATTGTAGATAAATGCTGGCATCCGTTTGAACCATGATGATCTCAGACATGCATCATATAACATCCATATATAATGTTAGATATGTATCCCGTTCGAAAGTATTGTTTATTTTAAAAGACCCTGTAATATAGTTTATGATCTCTGTCTGTTAAATCTTCTAATATGCTAAAAAATTACCCTTGCCCATAAACTTTGAATGATCAGGTCCAGTCCAAAGACTATTTCTACCTACGTAGCTATTAATAGCTACCTAGGTATTTAAAGCTACCCAAAGTAGCTATTTTTACCTACTTTTTATGATTTCTGCATTTTGCGGCACAAAGACCAAACGGCGCAACATGGTGAATATCATATCTTTTGATAGAGTCACACTAATGATGAAAACGACAAAATTTTGGCCAAAAAATGATTACTTCCTGAATCGGCAATTTTACATTAGTTTCTATGCAAAATTGATAATACACGAAGTAATCATTTTTTGGCTAAATTTCTGTCATATCCATCATCAGTGTGACTGTATTAAGAAATTTTGTGCTCACCATGTTGCGCCGTTCCTGCATTTGGCCACAAAATGCAAGTAAAGCAGAAAGTAGGTAAAAATAGCTACTTTGGGTAGCTTTAAATACCTAGGTAGCTATTAATAGCTACGTAGGTAGAAATAGTCTTTGGACTGGACCAGATGATTGGTGCTACCAGGGCTTTCATATTTCACTTGTGTTTCCTTGTCACAAGACCTCTCTTGGTACCAGATATTTGACCTCTTGACCATGACCCCATTCTTAAAAAAGTAAGTCAGACTCTAATGTCAAGGGCAAATGATCAAGATTAATGGTACCTAGACGGTAGTGTGGGGCCATAATAGGTATTACAATGGAGAAAATCTGGTAGTGAACAGCATGGCAAAAGTTACTCCGGTGAGATGGCCCATGGACCTCTGTTCTCTGTTCAGCATCCACCTATCTATCAGATACCTACCTAGTACCTACCTATTTGGGAAAAAAAGACAGATGAAAAAATAAAACACAAAACTTTATAGGACTCATAAAAATGATGCCATTTCAAGGATTTGATTTTGCTAATCTATCTTTCTTCTAGATTCAAATTCCTTTGCAAAATCAAAGTATTAAATGCTTATAATTCACTGTGTATGACATATTCTAGAAAAATATGTAGAAAATTGACAGAATTCAAAGATTTCAATCAGAATAAGTTTTAGGACTTTTGGTTGTTTGTTTTTCTATCATGGAGTGTAAAAAAAAAATGAAAAAGTTGCTAAACATAGAAAATAACGTGGAATTGCCTTACTATATCTCACATGTGTATTCCTTGTGACAAGACCTTTTTTTGGGAACAACATTTTTGAATGCATGACCTTGGAGTTTGACATACATTTAAAAATCTTTTACCTTGGCTTTTAACTGCCATATGGGCATCAGTGTTTCACAAACACATCTGTTTTAATCTACTTTCAAATACTACTGGATCCATGAATCTTTCTTAGTCATTATTTTTTTTCTTTTTTTATTCTGCCTTCCCTGTTTAGCACCCACCCCTAATCAAATTTATGTAAACCTATTCAACATTTGATATCTTTTTAATATTAATAGTAACATTTAATTTTGTATCCTTGATAATGTAGATTGAAAGAAGGTATAATTATGCCTGGATCAGAAGTTGGGAGACTTTCACGGGCAACTTTTGCCCTCAGCTGATTTTGGTTTCCAGAGGCCCAGTTTGGGGTGGTCCCTGGTGTCATTAGAACTAGAGTGGGGTTCACTGGAGGGTCATCTCCAAATCCTACCTACCGCACCATGTATGTAATTTCTTTTTGTTTAATATTTAAGGTTCTTTGACTTTTTGATAAGAGAGATAACTCTGTACTCCTACTCTCTTTGAGATTTCTTTATAAAATTTTCAATTGCAAATAAATTGGCTATTCTTTCACATTTAGATAGATATTACATTTAATATGTTTTAGTATATTAAAAAAATATTATCTCATTGTGACCTGGCAAAGTCATAGTATGGTTTAATACTAGGAGAGTTGCATTGTACATGTAATATGTGTGCATGTGTGTTTGTGCATTTTATTCTTAAATGAATTGACACCTCATAGTGAGTGTGATTTTATGACATCTCTGTGTGACTTTACCATAGGGGAGATCACACAGAAACTGTGGACCTGGAATTTGACCCTGATGTTGTTTCCTATGAAGAACTTTTAAATAAGTTTTGGAAATGGCACAATCCTTGCTCTCAGCGTGGAACCCAGTATATGTCTGCCATCTTTTATCACAGCACCAAGCAGAAAATGTTAGCCGAGCAGACTAGAGATGAACAGCAGAAAGACCATGTGTCCCCTATTGTAACAAAAATTGCTAAAGCTGGACCTTTCTATAATGCAGAAAAGTAAGCATTTTCTCTGATCTCATGTTTTTTTGACTTGTGACTAGAAGATATATTTCTTGACCTTAAATATGGGTAATTTTGGCAAGATCAAGGTCACAGGTTTCAGAAGGTTGAAAATCCTTGTCATGCCTCTTGGCCTTAACTGTTAAGTGCATGGAGAAGCATTAGATTTTAATTCACGTAATTGTGACCAGAGGTCTATCTAGATCTTGAACTAAAATGTTCATTGCAATGTCAAAGCAATAAAATATTATGAATGAGAGAATATCTTTGTTAAATGTCCAATATGTTACTCAAAAGTAAAAAAAAAAATTCCTAAGGAATATAAAGAAGATGTGGTACACACTTGTTCTGTCTTGTTCACAGCTACCACCAGAAGTACATTCTAAGACAGCATAGAGACATTTTAGATAGCCTGCACTTGACAGATGAAGAACTGATTCTGTCTCCCCTAGCCTGCAAATTTAATGGGTACCTTGGTGGTTATGGAAACTTTGAAGACTTCCTAAAGGTAAATTTTGAGCAAACAATAACTCATTTTCTGAAAATATTTTCAAAAATTTTTAATAAAATTTTTGTTTGAAGTGACTATCAGAGGACTGTATCTGGAAGGGGATTTGATACTCTGGTTTCACAGACCAGTTAATATACACTAGTCTCTCAATAGCTAATTTGGTTAGACAGCCAGTCAGTGTACATGAGAACGCTTATGTTCAAATCTCATTTGAGACATTGGATTTAGCATTGATACCAGTACAGTAAAGCTGGGTTATAAAGAGAACACTTATGATAAGGGTACTTTTATGAATCCCATCGAAAGTATTGACTATGTTCCTTACATAAGGAATCTTGGTTATAAGGAGGCAATATTCCAGTCCAGTTGGCTTCCATACTGCACTTGTTCTACTGTGCAGTGCTAATCAGATGATCTTAACTGACAGGTTTAATTAATTTATATACATTTGTAGGACACAGAGGGTGTGAAGCTGACCAGAAAACAACTGGACTATGTAGAACAACAACTGGAAAAGGTGTCCAGGTTCTAAACTGCAATACCAAACAAGTGCCCATGCAAAGACCACAGGCCCTTACCCAGCCTTGGCATTTACTACTTACTTATAGTCCTCTTCCTGCTGTTCAGCAAAATAATAAGGCCATCACAAGAGACTTCAGTGCTGGTCTGTCTTGTGTCCATCTCTGGACCTGTCACAATGACCAGTCGTTCTCCTTTATTTCTTTCTCCACTGATCTTCTTCAGACCTCTTTTGGTATAAGCATTTACTACCTCACTTTCAAAACTGACAAAGGGTATGATTTGTGATTTATAATTAGTCCTCTGTAACTTTTTAACTCTCATTTTATGATTAATCGGTTTAGTTTTTATAAGAAAATTTCCTTATGAATTCCATTTTGTGATATGTTCCTGTGAAAATCTCATTGATAGAATCTAAATTTCCCTGTGTTTGAGTTAAAAAAAGTCTTTATATCTTTTTAATGATAATTCTTGATTCAAGTTATTTTTAACTTTCAAGAAATTGATGATGTAAAGATATGAGTGTTTTTTTCTTTAACATAGACACAATGCATTGTTTATAGTGTAGAATACTCTGTTTTGTTCATCATGCTTGTAATAAAGAAATTCATCTCTTTCCAATGATATGCTCTTGATAAAAAAGATATTTAAACTTTCAAGAGATTGACACTTTGAAGAAATGAATTCCTTCATACAAACATGACAAATTTATATAATTGCTTACTGTGAATTGTTATGTTTTTTGTTTTATGAAATAAATTTGTTACACTTTACCTGGACAATTTTTTTTCTGTTCATGCTGCCATGAAGTTGATTCAGAGTATCTCAATACAAATATATATGCTCCAGTACCAATGGTGAATTTTTCCTGAAATTTTATGGATTTTACACAATTTTCTTAAAAAATACCAGGTATGAATTTGTTCCGAGTACATCTTATTAAATACAGCAAAACTCAGGGTTAGGGTTAGGGATCCAAGATATATCCATGAATTTGCAATATCCATGCATATTAAATGAGTTTTACTGTAATATGATCAGTTGGTAGGGGATTCTTACTTCTCCTTGGCACCTGATCCCACTTTTGATGTCTGCGCTTCAGATTTGTATTATTTCAATGGATTTGTGAGCTTAGAATACAAATACATGTACCTTGTCAGCAAATACAGTCTATCTGTAAGTTGAATGCTGACATTAACACTATTCTCATACTTAAGAACAGATTTTTCCCCAATTGCCCCATCATGACAAGGCGAACATGGTGGATGTGACCTTTCAAGTTTCAACAGAGGATATTTACTCCTGCATGACATCTTATCTCACTTCTGATGTTTGTAGAGGCATATTTCATGAAATAAGCTAACATGAAGCATCATAGTTCTTGTTCTCCTGAATGCACAACAAGAGGCCCATGGGCCACATCGCTCATCTGAGCACTGTGGCTAGGAAAAAGTAGAAATTGGTTTATTATCGAATAGTTTAAATCCAAAAGTAGTCCCTAGACCAATCATGGCTTTTCTATTCTTGAGAAGATGATTTTCAAAGAATTTTCCTATATATTTCTATGTAAAACTTTGGTGGGTCATTGTGGCCCTGCCCTACCCCCGGGGTCATGATTTGTACAAACTTGAATCTACACTACCTGAGAAAGCTTCCATATAAATATGATCAATTAAGGCTTTGTTATTCTTGAGGAGAAGATTTTTAAAGAATTTTCTTATATATTTCTATGTAAAACTTTGGTGGGCCATTGTGGCCCCGCCCTTGCCCCGGGGGTCATGATTTGAACAAACTTGAATCTACACTACCTGAGGATGCTTTCATATAAATATGATCAATTAAGGCTATGTTATTCTTGAGAAGATGATTTCTAAAGAATTTTCCTATATATTTCTATGTGAAACTTTGGTCGGCCATTGTGGCCCCGCCCTAGCCCTGGGGGTCATGATTTGAACAAACTTGAATCTACATTACATGAGGATGCTTCCATATAAATATGATCAATTATGGCTTTGTTATTCTTGAGAAGATGATTTTTAAACAATTTTCCTATATATTTCTTTGTAAAACTTTGGTCGGCCATTGTGGCCTCGCCCTACCTCCGGGTGTCATGATTTGAACAAACTTAAATCAATACAACCTGAGGATGCTTCCAAATAAATATGATCAATTATGGCTTTGTTATTCTTGAGAAGAAGATTTTTAAACAATTTTCCTATATATTTCTATGTAAAATTTTGGTACCACCCTAACCTGGGGGATTTTCAAACTTGAATCTACACTACCTGAGGATGCTTCCATATACATATGATCAACTAAGGCTATGTTATTCTTGAGAAGATGATTTTTAAAGAATTTTCCTATATATTTCTATGTAAAACTTTGAATTGTGGCCCCTTCAGCCCTGGGATGCTTTGTGGCTACACTACCTGAGGATGTTTCTCCATAAGTTTCATCATTCCTGGCACAGTGGTTCTTGAGAAGAAGATTTTTAAAACATACCACCAGATTTTCATTAATTCCCAATTATCTCCCCTTTAATGAGGGCGTGGCCCTTCATTTGAACAAACCTGAATCCCCTTCACCCAAGGATGCTTTGTGGCAAGTTTGGTTGAAATTGGCCCAGCGGTTCTTGAGAAAAAGTCGAAAATGTGGAAAGTTTACAGACAGACAGACGGACGGACGACGGACAAAATGTGATCAGAAAAGCTCACTTGAGCCTTCGGCTCAGGTGAGCTAAAAACTAAATTCATTTATTACATGAATTTTGTTAACTTGAATGGCTGGCACACTGAGCAGTGGTTTCTGTAAAATCAATATTTTCATATGGGTTTAATTTTCGTTATATCTGAGGTATATAGAGACCTTTGATTTCATGTCAACTGATCCGAAATGTAAATTTCATATGCATTATTACTCAACACTTGTCCAACCTTGAAATCAAATCCCCACCAACCAAGATTTCTTTCTCAAACCTTGAAAATTTGATACATAGAAAATATGTGATTTTACAGTAAGTTATGCATTGTTCACTTGACAATTAACATCAACACCTTCTTCATAATAATAGTTCCAGGTAAAACATGTAAAAACAAAATGTTTAAGAAAACAAGATTAGAGTTTTATTAACTGTATAAATCAGGGTTTCTATATAAACCTGAGTAACAAAGAGAAACAATTAAGACAAGAATTTCTTATTAGAATGATAATCAGACACATTGATATACATGTAGTTTACATTTATAAATGTTACCATTGAATTCACGTATTTAATGTTCAAGTACATGTATGTTAAATAAATTTACCGCTAAAAATTAAACAGTATTGAAAGAAACATTTTTTACAGACTTTGAGTCCAGAATAATATATTCTTTTAATGATTACCAAGGTAACAAATTCAGCTTAGTTTTGTGCATTTTTTTAAAGACAGAACTTGGTAAAATCAATAACCCTTTTAAATCAAGACCAGTCAAGCTACAAATGGCACTCTCTATTTATTTAGCAGCACTAGGTATCTACAGCACCTGGCAAAAAATATGTCAGTAGTAACTTTAATTTGGCCTCCTTTAATATGGAAAAATGAAATAGAGAATACATGTACTGGGTATTTTAACTCTAAGCTTATTAGTATATCAAAATGGTCCTCAGCAACTTTAACTAGGTTTGGCATATGGAATGTAACTCTAAAATGTTATGCAAATTAGATCAAATTACTGAACATGCATGTCATATCTTATGTTATTGATGTAATCTTATGTTATTCATGTAATTTTCGATCTAGTCACTTGAGCATTGATCAGAATACCGGTATATTATTTATTACAATCAATCAGTAATAAAATTTCAGCTTACTAATATGTATCTTTCAATAAAAATTTGTACTGTTATTTTTGACATCTAAATAGCTGCAATTGATCAAATTTGTATTAAATGGTACATACATGTCTATGTAACTATGACGTTAAATTTTGAACCACAAGTATATATACTAAATATCTGCAAAAAAGGACACTAATCATACTATCTATTTTTGTCTCTATTACTAGAAAAAAAAATTCTACTGGATATCCTATCAAGTTTAAAACTCATATGATAAATCTACCAAAAATGCATAAAACTTTTTGCCCTCAGTATTTAAAAATACTTATGAGAATCGCTGTCCTCCAATTAATTCATATTTACCAGAAATATTAATGCTTATCATGCTTATAATGAAAACAAATGATTTTATAATAATACTTTCCCCATGCAGAAGCAGAGATTCCCATGAAAAAAAAAATCAAACAATCATTATAAACCTAAAATATTGAGACAGTCACATCAATAAAATTTTAAAGATACATTGAATATACTACATGAACACAGAATTCTAGCTAGATCCCAAAATCTGGAATTATCACCATACTTGTAAAGATAAATGTATTCCTCCTTGATTCTCAAAAGTAAAAATTATGCTACATGTACGTACATGTACATATTATTTTGTAAATCAATGCATTGATCTTATTGTGAAAATCTGCCATTGACTGAAAAGTGACTGAAAGTTTACTGAAATGTAACTGAATGGCAGATCTCTCCATTCAGTCGCCTTTCTGTACCTTGCAGTGACCACTCAGTAGACTTTATTGGCAGAGTTTCATCCTTTGAATGTCCCTGTATTATCTAGGCATGTAGACATTGAGGAGGTACAATATAACACAAGACATGAGACCTCAAAATAGTCACAACCTTCTCTGATTTCTAGAAAATTACAAAGAACAGATTCAAATTCACAACCATAGAAAATATAATGCTGAGTTATATACATAGAGTTGACACAAATTAAGAGGAAATTATGTATATATAAATCAAAACAATTCCACAACCAGTGTGAAAAAAAGATTATACATTACTTAAAAAAATAATGAAGTTTGTGTAAAAAAAAATCGCAAATATATAATTTTAATGATTGACGTTTAAAAGAATTTTGAACCTAGATCCTAATTTTATTTCTCAAATGTTTTATCCAGATTGTCACCCAGTGATGTAAATTAATACATCACTGAAAACCCACTATTACATGTAATCACAATATGCTGTGTTTCCAATGAAAATTCAAGTTGAAAGTAACATGCTGTGTTCAAATGAAAACATAAAAGTTACTGTAATAATAAACAGGAATTGGTCCCCCCAACCCCAACAACAACCACAGAACACAGCATAATCAACTAATGTAGCTGCATATCCATAGCTCATTGATCTGGAAAAAAAAAGTTGGGATGTCAAACTTTTTTTTGGTCCACCTCAATTTTTCAGACCACACCTGCAGTTATATAATTTATCAACCAAGGGTTTCCAATGGTGCAATAAAAGCAAGGAATTCAATTGATTTAACTAAAAACAAACAAATTGAATATTATAATATAGCCTACATATATAAACATAATAATAATTGTATTCATCATCCACAATGCAATGTGACTTCTTTACTTGTGTTCAACACAAAGAGTATGAATTTATATCATCACATCAACCATGGCACTTGGATTTCGTTATTTTTGAACACTTGATAAATTTCAGTGTACATACTACTAAACTATTCTCATAGTGTGAAACTTAACATTTGCAAAAAGTTACAAAAATTCTAACAATGTTGTAAAAAAGTAACAAAATGTTAACTTTGATAACTGTAAAGCAACAAGACAAGCAAAATCTATACATTTTTTTCTGTAAAAAAACAATAAATTTAGAACTGAACCAAGGGACTTATACCCTTGCATTAAGCAATAAAGAAAGGTTCACTTTAAACAAGCTTAAAAAGGAACTCTTCCATCTAAGTGTAGTGATTTGATAAGAGTACCAGTTGTGTTGGTTATGGATATTCATCATCCAGCATCAAAATGTACATTAACTTCTAAGTCAGCTGACCTTGGTTTTAAGTACACATCTCTATGGCATAGGATCACGAGATACATGTAGATACCTTTTCTGTCATAATCATGTACCTGTATGCCAAGTATCACCTAGTGTTCTCCAATAAAATACTTTGTTTGTAGAATTTCATATTTGCAAGATATTTCTCATACTTTATGTTGTCTTAATAACATTTTGTAATTATCAAAATCCTATCCTACACAAAAATTTTACAAATCAAACTTGGTGACCTTAATTTTGTTTTAATGATCATGTTACAGGGTTGTTAAACACAATAAATTCATGGTCAAAGCAGGAACTTTGTTTCCCAAACTATGGCCTTGACCTTGTTCAAATATTCCTTGAGACACAGACAATCTTAATCTCTTAAGTAAAAGCTTCCACTGTTTTTTTTTCAATTTCAAAGTTGTTGCTAGAACAATATATGTAATGCAGAAGCTCTGGTAGTTTATCTATACCTACAGACAGACAGACATGGTGATTCCAGTATAACCCAACAACTCCATTTGCAGGGGTTATAACAACTAAAAATAGTTCAAAGTTGTAAAGTAATCCTCTCTGAAAGAGGCTGATGGAGTCTTCGTCTAATATGTCACATAAGTCTGAGCTCTATATATAAGCTTTGAGAGACAAACCACTTTGTTATATCACACAGCAGTAAGGATTTCATCTGTTAGACCATTAGCTTCTGCTATCCTGTCTAAATGTTTCCTGTAAGTTGTCATGTCCTCCATGAAGAACGGAATCTGGGTGTCATGTAACTCAGCATAAGGTCTCAGTATATCAATATCCTGCCAGGCGACTTTCCCCATCCGGATCAGCATCTCAAAGTCTATGTGTCTCCTGTGCTTCAATATCTGAAGTGCACCATCAAGGTAGACTTGGTCCTTGCAGAAAGCTCCTGAAATTAATCCATAATAACTTAATATTTTTATTAATGTGGCAATCTTGATTTACTCTAAATATTGATTAAGTCTCTCTTTGGATTGTTCCTCTTTAGTCTAAAATATATTTATGATATGCTCTTTCTCTATTTCTGGTGATGGTAAAGAGGTTGAGGGATATGTTACATGTTTGTCATCCCCACCCATTAATTTCACACCTTTACAATTTTAAACAATTTTGATCCAATTTAAATTTGCCCAAGGACAGTAGTGTTAAAGAAATAATGCTGTCTTCCTTAAATTCATCTTGTTTCAAATTTTGCAATCTTGCGCCACGAGTGAAAAAGGCAAAATTAAAGTAAATTTGAAAAAGATATTTTCAGAACTGTAATATTTTGTTGTTCAAAATCAAATACCTGGTCTTGATGTATCAGTCTGTCCTCTTTTGGCCCTGATGCAGTAATCCCAGCGAACATTTGGATCTTGAACATACTGACCCAGGTCTTTGAACAATTCCTTTAGAGACATTTGCGAGGCCTTAAACACTGTATAATACAACACAGCAGCCCGCCACAGACTGGGGTCTTTGCGGTAGAGAACACTGTGTAGGGAGGCTAGCCCCTCCTCTGTGGGGTTCATTGATCGCAGACCCATATCCTTCCGAACTTTGAAGTTACTCCAGGGCTGGTATCTATTGTTAACGCTCCTTAGATGGTGAGTACCTGTATAATAAACAATTAAATTTAATTTGAATTTATGAATTTACATTTAATATACTTAAGATTCAAGCTTTGTATTCAATATACAGACAACATGCTTGTAGTGAATATGCCTATAATGAACTGATGCTTATAGCAAAGTGATTTTCACAACTCGTAGGTTTTAAATATATTATGAAGCTAACAGATATATATAAGAATGGCAGTTCAGTATAACCATGTTTTACAGTATACATGTGGGTAGATATTGACAATTTTCTTCTTCATGAAAAACATACATATAAGATGACATCGAAGGAGACTAGATCTATTTAAACTAATTTGCGACCCTTGAGAGATAGCATACACATACCTAAGAAGTAAGTTTATACATCAGAAACACAAGTGAGCACCTGACTTACCTATTTCATGTCGCAATAAACCCTCTACCCACATTTCTCTCAAGTTCACAGTCCTAACATTGAGTTGGGGCTTTCCTTTGTTCCGCGTCATGGATCCTCGAGACAGCAGTTCGTCCGTTAAGTTTAGGAGGATGTCGTCCTCTAGCTCCTCTCGTTTTAAGTATCGCTTGATGATAGCTAAGATCTGAGATCTTCCTATAACCTGTCCTCCTGTCTGAGCTTCAAATTCTTCATAAGTGCCATATTTTTCAAGTGAATTTTCCATGATATATATAGCCTGTAATAATAACCTGCATTTGAATTATAAATTATCGTACCAAAGAGGACTATTATGTTATATTACTCGTACTTCACAAACTTGATAAGCAAATGTGACTTCATGTACCATATTACTTAAAGAAAGGATATTAATAGAAAATGTTTTTAGCAAATTTACTGACTGTTCTTCAAGATTTCAACAAAATCAATATTTACAATCATTAGAAAATTTACATTTGGCAAGTTTACCCCTTTTTGCATCATATCTACTGATTCAAAAATGTGCATCTTATAATTGCAATCACCTGCACACAGAATGAAAATGCTGAACACTCATACACACCTCATTTATAAAACGATCTGATGGCTGACTACACTTTTCCAATACTTCAGGTTCAGCAGGAAATCTATACATAAAATACGGGTTATACAGAAAGTTGGCACGCATGAATCTTTCTTTCTCAGCTTTCTCATTGTCTGGTTTAATGGCAGCTAAAAGTGGTAACTTCTTCCTTCGTTCACATGCAGTGGGCACATTGTTCATTGACAAAACAGGGGGAGTTCTATTTAAGGGGGTCAAAAGTCTAGGACTGGGCGGGGACCTACTGTATATAGAGGGGAGTTTTGTGGAGTTAAGACTGTCACTTGTGTTGGTTCTGCAGAATGATCTTTCTGATTTGAATCCAAAGTCAGATTTTGGCCGATCAAATGATTTGATGGTGACTGTAACTTGCTGTGCTCGATTTTTGGCATTCTTCTTTCTTTTCTTCTTTCTGCCCTTGTCATACTGGTTATTTACAGGAGCAAAGAATGAAGCATAGGAATTTGAAGATGCAATTTCCTTGACCAGTTTGGTAGGCATTATGAAAATATAGACATTTATTTCAAGGTGTCCTTAAATTTCTTCTCTATATCAATAGGCAGTTTTCAATGTGGCTGCTCCTAAAACATAACAAATATAAAGATATTAAAACAGATTTTTTTCTGTATACAACAAAACAAACTTCATATCATATGGTTTTCAATTTTACCATGCCTTAATTAAAAGTTGATTGATTAAAAATTGATTGTTGATTTCACAGTAATACATATCTGAAAATTTCTACTTAAAAAGTTCTTTTAGCAGGAAGAGATAATTTCCAAATTTTGCAGTTAGAAATAGTTTTAGGAGAATATTATATTGGATATATGCTCACCATCCCCTTTTTGTAAAAAAAAACTTGATAGATACCAATGCACTGACATTTTGTCTTTATACATTTAAGTATTACGTCTTGTTAATTTTCTATCTATTCTGAAAACCATTCAGGTAAATCTTAAAAAAAAAAAATGATTTAAGATAATTTATTCAAATTCTGTCCTCAATTGCAAATAAAGCTACCCGTAAAAAGTCCTTGCTCCTCTATCAATTACTTTTGTAGTTTACATTTCCCTACAGCTCGTATATAAGGAGCAGATCGCTAGTCAAACCAAAATGTATTTTACAATAGAGATCCGAAATTTTCATGATCTCAATTTAACAAAGCGTGCTATTAAAATCAATTATCGATGAAATCAGTCAAATTTTAGGAACACACGGTTATTTTTGAAATCCAAAACACGACAAAAGTATCATGGAAAATACAGGTCAATTTTTATTTACAATACAGAAAATGCACATGAAAACAAGAAATAAACGCAAAAAATCTAAGACCACGATAGGAATGCACTGACATTTTGTCCATACATTTAGTTTCGAGTGTGCAATTTTCTATCTGTATTCTGAAAACCATTCAGGGTTTATATAAAAAAAAGATTTGACAGTGCCTATTTATGAGAAGTGTTCAGCTTTAAATAGCTAAAGATCTAAACAGCTGATGATCTAAGATAATTCAAATTTTAAACATATGCAAACTGCTTTCCCAGAGAGAAAATGTTCTTTTACGTGTTTCCATCGAAAAGTAATCTATTGATTTTGCAATATTTATGCTGATTGTTAAACCGGCTATATCAGCCTATTTCATTTAGCACATTGAAAAGTGAAGGTTATGTCCAAAATAGGGAAACCACAATCGATACCTTTTTCGTAATCAACAATTTTGTCAATCTATGCATATTTTTTCTCTTTTTACCCATGTGCTTCATTTCAAAATAATCTGTGATATGACAAGCAATGAAAACAAGACCATTTACCTTCCAATTTATCACAAATCTGAATACCATCCCCCATGACGCTTAACCCTGGCAATAACCCGGAAGTGCATTGATTATTGGTCAAACTGGTTATGATCCATCGAATTTTTCAAAAAAATTACATTGAAAAAAATGTAAATAATTATTATATATTATCTACAAATTATTTGTAATAAAAGGAATCTATATGAAGTTGTAAAAAAAAATCATTTATTTTTAAAATTGTATAATGAAAACTCGGATTAGTAAACCATTAATGTTTGAGTATTATGGTATTTCAAGATGGCAGCCCCCATTGAGCTGGTAGTTTCTATATTTCAGATTTCAGCAGTTTTTTGCTTTTCCGTGAAATAATTTAACGATCAAGTAAATCCCATTGTAAAATAAGCTTTGATAGGTGTTTTGAAGGATTCCAAATACCATTGGTAATACTTTATTCGTGAAATCTTTATTTTTATTGTTAACAGCTGTTAATCATGTTAATGTTTTATAAAGTTAGAACTTTTCTTCTTTTATCCGTTTATGCAGGGACCTGTATACTTAGTATATAGGTCCCTAGTTTATGTTATGAAAGAATTGGAAGAGGGAAATACATATACTCTACAAGATTATAGTCAGCCTTATGATTTGGTACAGTCATTTAGGGTATTCTTTTACATTTTGACTGCAGATGATTTTATTAAAAACTTTTCACATGGTTGTTTGGTATCAAAGGAAAGCCAATTTAGTGAAAAATCAGATCTACTTTATAGAACGAGTCTAAATACAGCGACCTTGACCGGGGTTATATTTGGATCACCTTTTTAGTGTATTGCCTTCCGGGTATTGTAAATCACCAGGTAAATGGGTTGAAAACGGTCAGATAACATCATCATAATTGATGAACTAGTTAGTATTGTTTATAAAAAGCTCCAAGAATAAAAAGAATTAAAATTTTCTTGATTGTTCTTGTTTATTTGAAAGTTATCAACACCCCCCTCTTTATTCGCACTATAAAACAGCTTTACAGGCGGCGGATCCAGAAAAGCAATTATTATAGGGGTTTAGAAATTACATGACTGTAAATTGTTGTCCTGTAAATATAATAATTTTTTTTGCCATGTGATTTTTTTTTTCCACTGCAAAACAATTAACAGAATCGGCTACCAAAAAAAAAAAAAAGATGTGATAATGATAAAAGAAATGTGTGAAAAGGAGTAAAGACTCTCTTGTTTAGATATACGTTCACAATTATTAAATGTGACATAAATCACTCATTATGTATGTGTAATGCTTGCAGTATGATAAAAGGATCAACACTGGTCAAGCTTTTAACTCTTCACAGCTTTTCCATTTCATAATTTTCATAGGTCCCTTGCATGTAAAGAAAACCGATGTTATCAAAATATCGGGCATATAACAGGTATGCAGCGTGTGCAATTTCTTCAGTTGCGGTCCTGCACATACATGATAAATACCCCAAATTGTAGTATGCGGTTGTAACATATACATTTATGAGATGTAATAAAAAATTATTAATGCTCATGAAAGCTCATAAAATTGCCGTTCTGTCAATGTTATGCCAAAGAATTGGTTTAAGAGGCAAGTTAAAATGAATTAATTATTTTTTTAATTAACGCATTATTTACCTCTACATGAACCATGTTGGATTTTAGTTGTCACACGTGTGCATGTCCTTATTACCGAGTGTTGCGAAATGATTTGGTAATTTTTCAGCAAGGCAAAAAAGAAAATATTTACAGCTGCTGTGTTTTTATACTACATCACAGTACATGTATAACTGTAAGCCAACCATCAAATTAATTTGAATGCCATTAAACAGAAAAACGTGCGCTAAAGCGACATCACAATAAGACAACAGAAATGGTAAATGTAACAAAACAGTGCAGGGAGAAATTTAAACATTGAGTATATATATATTTGGTGCTTTTAAACATAAAAAATGTAAAGATAAGGAATGTTTTTAAGTTTAGTGTTACTTATTGGTTGTGTAAATTACACATGCTGGCACACATCATGTACCTACCAGTAACTCATGTACAACATTTTATAAATGTGGATATAGCAAGGCCAATGAACTATGGTTTACTTATATGAGACATTGAGCTAGTCATACACATTATATTACAATTATACATGACTTAGGATTTAGGTAGATATTAAATTTGTATCTGTGTATAATTATACAAGTTTTGATCCATTTGTTAGATCAGACACAATCTTTTGATTTAGTTTGAACTAGAATTAGCTATAGAAGATGTACAGAGTAAGTATTGAATATAAGCCTACAGTCTCATTTATATACATGTATTAATCTTAATATATGTAATTCACAAATTATTCCAAAATTTGCTCCCTTTTATCTTAAAATTCACAATAGAAAGCAAAGGATACAAAACCCTGAACCAAAAAGGTCAATCAAACCCTGATCTTACAAGGTTTGACATTAATTAAAACAGGAAATAAATTTAAGCTAATACTTATAGATTGTAACTATATTGTTTGCATGCCTAAAAAAACTAATTTTTACAAATTTCATTTATTCCAGACATATCACCAGAGTTTGGAGTGAAAAATGATTCTTACAGATCTTCTTGACAAATATGTTCCATGACAACTACAGCAATATTTAGATGTCTTCTTCACACACTAGAAACCATGCGTTGGTTAATAATCCAGCTACCTGGGATGTTCTGTTTCTATTTGCGTACAAGAAGACTAGTTCGCTTTTTCTTCTTGGTAATTTGCTTGTTGCTGTACTGTGAGTTTTTTCATTACTACGTAGTGTTATTATTCTGCAAGTGGCCAGTTTTAAGTACGGACATTGCACAGCTACCAGTCAGATCTAGACCTCTAAAAGTGATGATTTTAGCAGACACTCATATTCTTGGATGGAAGGAAGGGCACTGGTTTGACAAACTTAGAAGGTAAGGTTTTTTAATTTTTGGTATTAAAGCACTTATAACCTTATATCAAAAGTTTTCTATAATATTTCTATATCAAAAGGGGTGTGAAATATAGATATTCTTTTGAAAGAGTATTGCTATCACACCAAAAAATGTCTTGCCGTTAAGGCAAAATATAAACACTTATATGGCTTTGAAATATGCTGGTAATCCTGGTATATGTATAGATTCCCAATTATACGTGAGGGATTTATTTCCGCGTAATTTCGCGAGAAGCATCACTTGCGAAAAAATATTACACGCTTCTATTTTTATGGTGCTGAAATCTAATATGGAAATTTTCGCGATTTGACGTTAAAGATCCAGTTCGCGATAAAAAGTACTCGCGAAAAAGAAGGATTCTACAGTATTAATATTGTTATAAAATGTTTATGATATTTTTGAAACTTAAAGTTTGACGAACTTTTTTTCAGGGAGTGGCAGATGGAAAGATCTTTTCAAAGTAGCATGACAATTCACAATCCAGATGTAGTATTTATATTAGGTATTACATTAAAAGAAAGACGACAGCTGAATTTCCATACTGTATACAGGGTTATTTTTGCCCCGCTTCATTTTCGCCCTTTTAGTCTTGCAAACAAGTTTGCCCTGTCTTAAATTCACCCAGTTACACTTTTGTATAAGAAATTATACTGTATTCTTTGAATTCGCCCTGTTTTGAATTCGCCCAAGCAAGGTAAGTGCCAAAGGGGGGAAAATAAAATGGGGGCAAAGATTTCCCTGTATACAGTATCTTTAACACTAATATTTTGAAAACCTTGGGTATATCAATGTTCAGCATAGTTTGACTGTATCTATGCTTTTCTCTCTTTTTTTGACAGTAATTTTGTAGATATCATTTACTTTAATCATCATCATCATGTAATCCTATAATTTTCCCATTAATATTTGCAAGATAAGTTACATTTTCGATATCTGATAATAATAAATATTAAATTGCATGAATTATTTTTCTTGAATTGATAAACCTTTATTAAAATAAACTTTATTAAAATTCACAGGGGATCTCTTAGATGAAGGAAAGTGGTGTAGTAAAGCAGAGTTTAATTATCATGTGAAGCGTTTTAAAAAGATGTTTACCACACCTTCGGGTGTCGAGACTTATGTTGTCACCGGAAATCATGATATAGGTTTTCATTATATGTAAGTACTTCTACATTTTACAGGGCCTTCAAAAATCAGCATACATTGAAAGTATAAAAATTGTCAAGATCTCACAATTTTACAACTTTTTTGGGTACTGTCTGTGATCTATGATTTCTGGATTAATAAACAGATTTTTGAGTTTTTGGAGTGAGGATTCCTTTCTTAGGGAAAGGTTACAAAATGTTAAAAATTACATGGAAGCATGCACATCTAAATAAAAATTTCAATACAGCCATCCTCATATAGCTGTATAGAATTTTATTAATTAAGCCATTCTGCAGGGGAAAAAATGAACACAGAGGGAGTGTAAAGTAGTGAAAATTCAAATTATTAAGACTTAAGTTTTTCAAAGGAGGAGATAAACATAAAAGTCAGATGAAGTGTCTCATAAATTTTATCTATGATATATAGGATACAGTGTATATGATATGATATGATTGTTGAGACTCACAAGCCTCTTTTATGAAGGATATGGAGATAACAAACAGTATTCAATATTAAAGTCCATAAAACAATACAAAATAGGAGCAGAGCAAACATGGACCTCAAAAACATCAGAGGTGGGATCAGGTGCCATGGAGGAGTGAGCATCCCCTGCCTACCAGTCACACTCGCCTTGTGCTCCTTGTCATGATCGGATAAATCCGTCATCAATTCTGTGTATAAATATCAGCCAGCATTTGACTCAGTGATAAATTGTATTTGCTGACAAGGTGATGGTATCGACCATAGAACTTACGAAATGATGACTGTAAACGAGACTGCTGATAGTCTTGTTTCATCTACTTGTTTGTCAATAATTTACCTTGTTATTTCAACCATAAATAAAGAATATCTCTACCAAATGCCTAAATGGAATTGAGCACCATAGACTATCAAACCCTTTATTCTACCTTTCACTGTTTAGGATGACAGAGCAAAAACACCGGAGGTTTGAGGAGGCCTTTTCTGCCCCGTCTGTCCAGATGGTGGAGATTCAGGGGAAGATTTTTGTCCTGATGAACAGTATGGCCATGGAGGGAGACGGGTGTAGCCTCTGCTCAGAGGCCGAAGAAAAGATGGAAAAAATTTCACTTCAGCTGAAGTGTTCTCAGGTATAATAGATAGTATTTCATTTCTATCCTAGTCTACTGATAGAACAAAAATTAATCTTTGTGTATATTTGTTTTCTTAAATTGATCATGTTAATAGTATCTAATTGTTACATATTTAGTATTTAAAAAAAAAATGCAGAAAGTAATCAGTGTCTTTTCTCATAAATTGCAGTGTTGAAAAGTATATTTATCATTCACAAGGGAATAAAGCTGAAAAAAAATTACTCTAATAAAATCAGGCAATGTTGAGATGCAGGATTCTTTTATATGATCTTGTTTTAACAGGAAGGATTTTCAAAGAAGAAAATACCAACTGCTTGTAAGAAGATGAAGAAGTTACCAAATACTCAACCCATTCTCATGCAGGTATTTATGTTTCGAATATTTATTATACAATCATACCTTGAAATCTGGACTGTTAAATAACTTTGATTTCAAGGTTGAAATTGGTACATATTTATAATGTTTTGTCCATCATCTCACCTTTATATTTACTGATTTTCATGTGAAAGTTCAGTACAGGTAGTACATTCTAAATCACATAATCATTTTTGCTTTGAAATTCAATTTTAAACTGACATAAGGTACTCATACAGATATACACATCTAAACTTTAGATTTTCACTAAAATGAATATCATTTTCACTTTGGCTGACCTGAGTTCAAAATTGTGAACACTATATCCTCAATCTTCATTGTAACAGTTGTTCACTGTTTTTATTTTGCCAGCATTTTCCGATGTATCGACCATCAGATCACAATTGCTCAACTCCTGATGCTGCACCCCCAGCAGAAAAAGACATTCCATTTCGTCCAAAGTATGACTGCTTGTCAGAGGAAGCATCAAAACAGGTACATAAGAGGCACATAGCAACAATTTTCAAAGCACGGAAGGTGGGGGAACTAGGAAAAGAATCTTATTTTGAAAAACATCCTGATAACACCATTACGAAAAAGGGAGGTAAATGGGCCTTAAAATAATTATCAGGACAAGACGCCTGCGAGGAAAGGGAGGAGGCATCATATGCTGGAGTTATAAAAGAAAATCTAAGAGTAAGAAATTATAAATGAAAGATATGTTTTTGTTTTTAGATTAATTGTTTTTTTAGGTCACCTGAGTCACTCAGGTGACCTATTGCTGTCTGTTTTCGTCCGTCGTCGTCCGTCGTACGTCGTTCGTCGTACGTCGTCAAGTAAACTTTTCAATTTCAGCTTATTAACCACTGAACCAATTTCAACCAAATTTGGCACAAAGCATCTATGGGTGAAGGGGAACAAAAATTGTGAATTTCATGATCCAAACTTAGGGCCTGGTGGTGGGGCCAAAACCACTAAAATTAATGCAATCTTTAAAAATCTTCTTCTGTTACACCTGGACATCAAGCAGTCAAACTGTATGCATGATTGTAAAAGTTTTGTAGTTTTACCAAAATTGTGAAATTCATGGCCCTGGGGTACAGGGGCATAACTTTTAGTGCTAGGGTTGAATTAGGCAATAAACAGATAATGAATATAGTGAAAATGCATTATTTCTTTAAAAATCTTTTCTCTGCTCCTGGGTATTAAATAAACTAACTAAGTACATAGTTATGATGAGCAAGAGTGCCTCTACCAAAATTGTGAATTTTATGGCCCCAGGGTTTCCTTGGGGTTCTGGTGTTAGGGCGGGGCTTTTGATTATATAGTGAAAATACATTATTTCTTTGAAAATCCATTTCTCTGCTTCTGGGTATTAAATAAATAACTTTTTAAATTTATATAAGGTCAAATTGTGTGTCTACCAAAATTGTGAATTTTATGGCCCCAGGGTCATTTGGATTCTGGTGTTATATAAGGTCTGTATTGATTATTACATGTATAGTGAAAAAACATTAAATCTTTGAATATTTTGTTCTTTGCTCCTATGATTTTAAGCAGATGAACTACCTATATATTTATGTACAAGGGATTAAAGTTAAATCAAGAATTGTAAATTTCAAGGCCCCAGGGTCAGTTGTACCATAGAGCCTAGGGGGGGGTGTACTTATATACTGAAAATGAATGAATTGTTTGAAATTTGCTCCTTAATATTAATCAAATTTTTTTTGAAAAAAGGATACCTTTCCAAAAATTGTGCAATGTGTGGATCAAAGCCTATATACTCAAGGATTCATGTGTGGTACGGCACTACTGATTATTGCTGAATATTACTGATTTGTTGAAATGCATTTTTTGTTCCCTTCAAAACTGCCTATTTGTATTTACAAGAACCAAATAAGGAACTGCTAAGTGTATAGTTATGATTACCAAATTGTAAATGCTATAGCATCTGGCTTAAAACATGGATCAAATTCAATCACTGGAAAGTTGTTGAATAATGCTCAGGTGACCTATAAGGCCCATGGGCCTCTTGTTTAAATGTGTAGAACAATGAAAATTTGACTGTTAAAAAAAAATACCTGGTAATCATTTGAATCATATCCTTCTCTTTTCCTTTATTTAATGTGTGAAACTTGTTCACAGGTATTTAAATGGACGAATCCAAGACTTATTGTGAGTGCTCATACCCATCATGGCTGCCACCGTATCCATGACAACGGGGTACCAGAATGGACAGTGGCATCCTTTAGTTGGCGAAACAAGAAAGGACCAAGTTTTCTATTGGCAAGTTTTTTTTATTGAACCATTATTTCCATTTTTTGAAGGTTCAGATAGAAACTAATTTTCCTTTGAAAAACATTTGTATCCAAATACATGTACAGTATATCAATATGTTTTTTTCCCCACCACACAAACAGGCTAACAAAAAGGCGCACCAAAAATAAAGATATTGATTGGTTTAAAAAATCCATAACTATCTTACGGTGCAAAATTTTACAGATTTCTCATAGCGGCATAAATTGAATTTTCTGTGATAATATTGTTTTATGTGTCTTTTAGATTAATCTGGATTCTTTTCATGCAATTTCCTTTTTTTTCTTCGCCAGGCTGTGATATCGGATACAGACTTTAACATAAATCAGTGCTTCCTTCCCAATGAAAACACAGTGTTTTCTATTTATGTTACTGGCATGATTCTTATTCTGTTGTCCATGCTGTTACCAAGGAAACACCATCATGTGACGACTTGTGTGGATTTGTCTGACAAATCAAGTTGACCCAATTTACTGAACAATAAGAGCATCAAAAATAGCCATAGAATGGCCTACCACCCACCACAGAGAATGGATATGTTTGTATTTATTTTCCAACTGATAAATTTATTTTTCTATATTCATACATGTCACATGATCGGTATGTCCAAATTAGCATTGCTTGTTATTTAGATGGTAAATAGGTGTCAGAGTATTATACAGAATGTAGCAAAAAAAAAAAGGAATGTCATGCATTATGTACTTCAATGTATCATACTGCGGGAAAGTTGTATCCTTAAAGCCCTAATATACATATTTTTTTGCATTTACATTTAATTTTTATAATTTGTTGATTTTAATTTAAGGTTGAATGTAGATAGATAAGATATTTTATCCTAAATGTCTGAAACTTTGTGAAATAGCCTTTGTGGTCTTGAAAGGTCAAGATCATACTAAATTAGGGAGAGGGCTAAAATAGGCTGAGCCTGCTGTCCAATCCCATTCACATTAACATCAGTGAATAAAATATTGTGTAAGGTCATACGCATTGTAGTTTGAACTTTATTGGGTTCTTCCCTAGAGTTGAAGAGTTTCACTAAATGAAGGACCTGTGTGCAATACTTTTAATGTCTATATAAGGATTTGTACACCTTTTCTAAATCAAATTTTGATGGGAGGAATTTATGTTTCGTATTTTTTGTACATTTCTTTGAATAATGCAACAATTTTCATAATTTGATATCTTTTAAAAACCCTGGTAACGCAGGCTGATTTTTTGTCTAAGAACATGTAATGTTACTATAAGTTTAAATTCAAAATATATTGAAAAATTATTAGTAGGTAAGGTACCTTGCGTATGTCCTTAAATTAAATCATACTAAAATACGCAAGCAGTGATGCAAAGGAAAATGTCTCTGTTGAGAAAATCTTTGTCATTGATGTTTTACTGCTTACTAGTCACATTGAAAAGTTTTCAAATGTACATGTAGTTGTTAACATTAGTTCAGTACCTACTAAAGGAATATATACTTAGGTAATTGAAATATTGACACAGCTGCTCAAATCTTTAGATTGTTAAATTGTCTGTATGTAGAGTGAACTATCTTTTACTCATCACAGGAAGTACAGTATCAGATTGTTAAGTATGGTTGTTTTTACAAATGGATGTATGAATATGTACCCCTTGTCTTTCCAGGAAAGTCAGATTTACTCTACTCAAGTAAATAAATCAAAATGTAATTTTTTTGTGCAATTCATTGTTTATTGTAATCATAATGAATCATTGTTTGACGTTTGATGTAATGATGTCCATTTAATAAATGATTAATTATTTCATGTGATAATTGTACCAGAGTCAGTGATTTATCAGCTTAATGGATAATTTTAGAATAGTTAAATGTAAAGAGACAACCTTTTGACTCTGAAAAAGGGGGTGGGGTGGTGTTGATTGGAAGTAATCTGTCCTCAAAAGGGTTGAAAAAAATATTCCTCATCTGTCATAAAATAATCATTTGTCCTTGTCTGCTGCTTCTACCCCAGTGTGGGAATAAGGGTAGTGTCTTCTTCCTTTTTTTGCCCTTAAATTTTTTTTATGAAAGAAGAAAATAAATAATCTGTCCTTCACTTACATAGCATTATATATTTCCACTCTTTTCAGATTCAAATGTTTATCTACCTTTCTTAATCCAAATTATAACAAAGTACATGTACTGACATAGGATGAACATGTTTGCAATACCAGGAGTTGAATGAACGCATAATATTTTATTATATCAAGAGGCAACATGGCATACTTTAATTTTTTATTCCATAGTTAATGCATCCCTCATATAAAATAAGTCCCCTCCTGATGAAACCAGAGGGGACTATGGTTTCCTTCTTGTCTTTCCCTCTGTCATTCTGTCCCACTTGGTTTTTCCAACTTTTTGCTAAATGCTGAAAAAATAGCTGATTTTTTTTTGGTATGTGAATTTATCTTGATGGGTTATAGATCATGTTTGCATTTTGTTCAGCTTCAATGATATTTTGAAGGAATTATAATAATAGCATTTTCAATTTTAATGGGAATCAAATAACACTTGCCCGTAAGTGACTATAAATTGATATATACAATACTTTCAGAATGTTTTTTTTTTGTCATACAACTTGTATACTAGGCCTGTAACCTAGAATATTGGTCTTCATGTTAACTTTCCATATTTTATTTCCTGTTTTTATTATAAAACAAATGTCTGTTATTAAAATTTCTAAGTACATTTCCTGTGTATTTTGTATGTTGAAAAAGATTATATTGCTGTTTCTTCTTTCTCATGCACTAAGGCTCAGAGTATATGTGTTACATGATATCATAAATATTGACAAATCCAAAACATCAATGAATGGCCATATTAAACACTGAATCACTTGTGTAAGCCTGATAAATGTATTTACGTTTAAGTATCCATCATTCAAATTTTGGTATAGAAATCAATAAAAGTATTTAATGTGTAAAGATCATATATATGCTTAACATACACATGATTAATAAATGGGGGTATTTTTCTTTTCATGGTACCTGGATCATTTTGAAAGTTATATCAATTATAAATCAGCTACCATAGGAACATTTCCAATATCGCTACACCCCACCCACCCATTTAAAAAGGTAGATTTTATAATATATCCTACCTTTATTATTTATACTCGAAAAAGAGAAAGTAAAATAAAGTTTTAAAAACGAAAATAAAAACATCATTATATATACCCGACCTCATAAAAAGTCTTTTCAAGAAAGTATAAAGAAAGTGAAACAAGTTTTCTGAAATTCGCACAATGCTTCTATTTTCAAAACGAAACAAGCACATTGATTTCCAATGACATCATCACCTGTATTTCAACAGTTACTTGCTATCTGTCGGATAATATATATGGACTTCTGATAGACAAAAAGACAATTTAGGGTATGTGCATTGCTTTTATTTGACAAATAAGCTTTAAAAATTAAAATCAATAATCATCAAGTATAGATATTGAAATGACAGTCTATTCGTCATTTATCTTTAGCAATTGACGTCTTAAAACTTTTGAATATCTACAAAATTATACCACACATTTACAGTAGAAAATCAAGATGGGATTTATTAATTATTTAGCTCCTTTATATTCTCTGTTACATTTTGACCCGGTAAAATTTAATTTATGGTATACCAGTATGTTATATCGATAATCCATATGTATAAGGAGTATATTTTGTAACGTTCTAAAATCACATCGAGTTGAAAAATAGGCTAACATTCTGATTTTATTATAACTAGGGATGTCAACGAATATTCGAATATTCGAATATTCATTCGATGAGTTGATATTCGAATATAAATTTATGATTCGAATATTCGTTTTTAAGTATACAAGCATTAAAAAGAGAGAAAAACCTGGAAAGTTTTATTAGAAATTCAAGTTTGTACAAATTTAAAAAAAACACTTCTCTTGGATTACCTCAAAGGTGTGAAGTGTGTATTTAAGAGTAGTTTATTTATTTGTTCACTTGATTAGTGGTATAATAGTGTCCAGTACTAACAATCAACTTTCATTGTTGTAAGGACCCAGTTTTACAGTATTCTTGTTTATCTAAATATCATTAAAAATCATTATGTTATAATTAGCAAAAGGTAATTGCTATATTTTGTTCTGCTTGGTATATATTTGTAAGAGTTATCAGTGCAGGCTTTAGTGAGACGATCAATTAATTTGGAACATACTAAAGAATCTTTTGAATTTTCAAAAAAAAACAAACAATCATTACATTTTATATGTTGAAAAATAGTAGTGCATTTTTTGAACATTTTTTATTCTGATTTTATTATAACAATATTTATTTTATCGTATATTCAATTATTGACAATTTTGACATCCCTAATTATAACAATGTATATTGTCGAAATTTTATTGTTCAGTATAAAGAGTAAATAAAAAAAATCTACTATTTTCTTTATAAATACCTGAAATCAGCTGTATATTTATGACATTTTAAAAATAGCAATCTCAATTTTCCAGGGTTTATTTAAAGAATCTATATCAAATTATAAATAGAACTGGAAACTGTAAATCCAAAAATAAATGAACACCTAACCTATTTGATGACTTAAACAATACTGCATGTTTAAATAAAATTCAACAGAAGTTCCAAGTAACAAAAGGTATTTCACTAGGAATTACTTTGTCAGATAAAATAAGTTTTTAAGGACATATGCAACGTAGTTTGAATTTTATTGTCTTTTTCACTTGAGTTGAAGAGTTCCAATACTTAAAGGAACAGTGTACTAGATTTTAATGTATATGAATGCTGTTGTACACTTATTCTAAAACAATTTCGGATAAACAAAACACATAGAATATATGTTCAATATCTTTTATATATTTTTCTTTGAATTATACAATAATTTTCAATTGATATCTTTTCAAAACGTCTGGTGTTGCATGCTGACTTTTTTTTGCCTATGAACATCTGATGGCACTACAATGTATAATCATAAATCAAGAATATCTTAAAAATTATCAGTAAATAAGGTACATGGATACTTTGCGTATGTCCTTAAACTTTTTTAAAATACTGAACAATTCTTTGAAATTATAGATACACAACGATGGATGGAAGACGTTCCGGTGGTAACAGAGGGAGAGGAAATCAGAGGCGAGGTGGTGGCGGGCGCAGAAATTACAGAGATCAGAGACCGAGAGACACAAAGGATCAACCTCCTCAGGGGGAGTCGAGAGACACACCAACACCAACACCCAAACATGTCAAAAACAAGGAACAGCCGTCAGAAATGCTGCACAAGAAAAGTGAAAGATTACTAACTGAACCAGGGCCGACATACAATCTCATTGTTTACCACCCATTCAAAGAAGAAAAAACTTTCTTGGAACACTTAAAAAAGAGAGAGTTGCCATCAGGTATCGAATTTAACATTGAATTTTTCACAACAAATCCTAATGGATTATCTGCTTCCATCTGGATTCATTTCCCAAGCAACAATGCCTATAAACAGTTTCAGCTGTGGATGCGACAAACTAGAAGTCTAGGTTTTTGCTGCCGTTTTTTAAGAGAGGAAGTTGCAAAAGTGAGTAAAGAATTTATTGATAAAAATCTACAGAATGTTGAGGAACGTAGTATCCATATAATGGGAATGCATCAAGAAAAAATTACGAAAACCAAACAAGAATTATCAGATTTTCTTGGAACAAAGAAAACCAAGAAAAAGACAAATTATATTCCCGTTCCTGAATTCCAAATGCAGACAAAGAGAGAAATGCAGACAAAAACACTTGAAAGTAAAATTTTGGAACTTAAAAATCAACTTTTCGAGTTTGAAAGTTCTGTAGAAGATATCAAAAGACGATTAAATGAGTTTGAAGGAATTTCTGTAAGACAAGACTACATAGATCAACTGCTCAGGGAATTTGACATAGAGTTTTCAAGGCTAGAGCAAGCACTGCCTATTTATGCTAAGCGCTCAGAGATAGTCAATTCTGTTTTACAAAATCAAGTATGCATCCTTCTTGGCGAAACAGGATCTGGGAAAAGCACACAATTAACACAATATCTTTTGCAGTCTAAACTGCCTTCCAATGGCCGTATTGTTTGCACACAGCCTAGAAAAGTTGCAGCTGCAAGTCTTGCACAGCGGGTCGCCAGTGAAATGAAGTCTACTGTTGCAGATATAGTGGGCTATCAATGTGGAATTCAGAAGAAAGTTTCTGACCAGACAAAAGTAGTGTACATGACTGACCATACACTGTTAAATGAATGCATCAAAGATCCTTTGTTAAATGATTACTCCTGCATTATTATTGATGAGGCACATGAGCGAAGCATATACACGGACCTTTTGCTTGGCATGATAAAGAAGTGTTTACCTCGGAGATATGACATGCGTGTCATTGTGACGTCTGCAACAATTGATCCAGAACTTTTTGTTCGATATTTTAAAGACTGTCCAGTGATTAAAGTACCTGGCAGAATGTATCCCGTCGATATAGAATGGGAGACATGTTCTGAAGATGAAGACTTGGAAGAATATGAAAGAAAAGCAGTTGAAAAGACGTTAGAAATCCATGATAAAGAACCCCCTGGTGATATTCTACTTTTTCTCACAGGTCAGTTGGAAATTGAAAAGTGTATAGAAAGACTGCAGTGGGAACTTGAGGGTAGAACTGATCACTGGATATTGCCACTTCATGGTAAACTTCAAACAGAGGAACAAAACAAAATTTTCAAAGAAACGCCACTGGGTAAAAGAAAAATTGTAATTAGCACTAATGTGGCAGAAACTTCTGTAACAATTCCTGGAGTGAAATATGTGATTGACACTGGGCTTGCAAAAGAAATGAAATATGACCCCGACAAAAAAGTGAACTCTTTAAGAGTTATTAAAATAACAAAAAGTTCCGCAGATCAAAGGAAAGGAAGAGCGGGGAGAACGGCCCCAGGGAAATGCTACCGATTTTATTCCGAAGAAGTTTATGACAACATGGCAGCCTGTTCTATTCCAGAAATTTTGAGAATTCATATCGGTCATGCCATTCTGAAATTGATGCAACTGAATGTGAACCCTCTTGATTTCGATTTTGTCGAGGCACCACCAAATAATTCAATGGAAACAGCCTTTCAGCAATTGGTCGATCTTGCAGCAGTTAAAAATGGGAAAATTACAGATCTAGGGCGCTGGATTGCTCAACTACCCTTGGACCCAAATTTGGGAGTTTTTGTTCATGATGCAATTGAGATGAAGGTTGGTTTAGATGCTATCATAATTGCGGCATCATGCACAGTGAGTGGGAACTTGTTTTACAGAGCTGGAACTAAAGAACAGAAAGATAGATGTGACAAATTAAAAATTCCTTTCTGTCATAGCAAAGGTGACCATTTCACATTTTTAAGTGTCTTTAAGACATGGCATTACATTCCCGAGAAGGAGAAAGGTCAATGGTGCTTGGATAACTCCATCAATGGAAGGGCCATGAGAAGTATTCGAGACACTGTAAACGAGATCAGATTCATCTTGAAAAATCAAATGAATATAACAATAAAGTTTGAATTAAAAGATGTAGGCAGGAATGAGAGGAATTTACAAAAGCTTATCTTCAAGGCTTTTCGTAGCAACCTTTCTTACTTCCTTGGGCATGAAAAGGCTGGGTATTATTCCATTGACAAAGACCAGCAAATGACTGTTCATCCGTCTGCATCTTTCCAGTCTCTTGCATTATATCCAAAATGGGTTATAATTGAAAAAGTTTTGAACACATCTCGAGAGTTTGCCGTTAATGTAACAGAAGTAAATGAAGACGACGTACATGAAGCCTTAAAAAGAAATGAAATAAAGTTTGACATAACAGGAATTGAAAGGAAAAGAATTGAACCAATTTATACAGAATACATTGGATCACATACTCTGTACAAATTTGTGGGTAAAGGGTGGAAACATGCAAAGGATCTCGAAACTAAGCTAAAAAATGAAAATACAGATTCAGTCTTTGTAATTGATGCAGACAGAAATAAGGGCGAACTTACTATTTATGCACCTGCAGATAAGGATGAAGTGGCAACAGAAACGCTGAAAATGGAACTTGATCAGATTAGAGAAAATGTAAGAAAGGAGAAGATTATCATTCCTATCTATCCTAGGTGTTATAATGTCAAACTATCCATTGGACCAGGTGGATTAATACAAGATTTGTTGTGTGAAGATGATTATAACAATGTTTATGTATACTGCTCAGCAGATGAATTTGAATCTGACGGAGAATTAGTGGAATGGATGAAACAGTTTGGCGAAATTCGAAAGTTTCAAAAGAAATCTCCAGCAAATACTACTCAAAGATACCGTGGTGAAGTAGTGTTTGAGAATAGCGAATCTGCGAAGAAAGCAGTTACGTATACTGTATCAGGTCACAGTGCTTCTAAAGTTCACATTAAACCCCCAGGTTGGAAAACAGAGGATTCTGATGCTTTTAAAGCCAAAATAATGTGGTGTCGCAGACAATCTCGAGGATTTGGGTTCGTGCAAATTATGCATTCGGAAACACTGGAAACCGTTTTGACTTTAAGTACGATGATACAAGTCTCAGTTGGTAGATCAAATGTTAAAATTAGTCGAAGTAGAGAGAACGCTGACCAATTGTACGTTCAAGGTTTCGATCATCTTGTCAATGAAGGCATTTTGAGAGAAGGAATTGTGGAGGCCTTCAAGATACCCGAAAATCAAATTGGAAAAATCTTTGTACCACGCGAGAGGGTAATTACAACAAGGGAAATAATGGACACACATAAGAGAAGAATTGAACGGCATATTTCACAAATCGTGAATCCAAACAGATTCAATGTACATATAAGAGAACCCAGACCGCAAGACTATAACTTCAGCGGTTTTATAACCTTTACTGACGCAGAACAAGGTGATGAGGTCTGCGCTAAATTGCAAAGCGAAAACCAGTTGTTCATCACTGGCAATGTCGTTACTGTTATTCCAGAAATTCGCACTCGTTTATATGTACTGGAACGGGTATTCAAACGGGTTAGTAAAGATATCAAAGATTTTTGTGTTAAAGCTAAGAAAGATCAAGTAACTGTTGATATAAAGCAGAACACAACGGGTAACTATATTCTGAATATAGAAGCTGAAAGCGTAGACAATATGATAAGGACAAGATACAAAATCTTCTTCAAGGTCAAATCTTAAAAATGGAAGATAATCCAAGTATAAGATATATGTTCACAAGGGACGGACGGAGCAAAGCTGAGAAAATAATGGAGAAAACCCACACTCTTGTAATTTTGAACGACAGAAATACGACTATTTCCGTTCATGGCAAAGAGAATGATCGGGCTTCAGCAATTTCAAAAATCCAAAAATATATTAAAAAACTGGCCTCCTCAAAGATTAGGTGGATTGATTTGAAGGGCGAAACCAAGCCTCCTGGATTGATGAAACGAATTATACAGATGCATGGTGTAGACCTTCAAGGATTGAAAGTGGAATCACATTTGTCCAGCGTAGAACTTGACCATAGAAGACATAAGATTAAAATGTTAGGCTCCGATGGAGCAATACAGTTGGCAATTAATGACATTGACGCACTTACGAAAGTGTTGATGGAAGACAATCAACACCAAATACCATCCACCGATCCAGAATGTGGAATTTGTTTCTGCTCCATATCCGAATGTGATCTCTACCGACTAGAATCTTGTGGTCACGCATACTGCAGGGATTGTGTGAGGTTGCATTTGGATTCTGCTATAAGCACAAAAGAGTTTCCCCTACGTTGCTGTTATGAAGGTTGTGATATGCTCTGGGCTTGGAGTGATTTTAATAACATGAAGGAATTCGGATTCTGTACGACTCAAACGTTGATAGATGTTTCGGTTTCCTGCTACGCCGCCCAGAATACAGATAAAGCTAGGTACTGCATCACACCTGATTGTCAGATGGTGTACAAGGTCAGTCAGGGAGGAGGCAGGTTTGTGTGCTTCCTCTGCCACACAGCACTGTGTAGCAAGTGCCACGTCGAATACCACACGGGCAAATCCTGTGCAGTGTTTCAGAAAGAAAAGCAGCTAGACGAGACTGGGCTTGGTGAATGGATGCGTCGTGATACTTTGAATAGAGATCTTTGTCCAAAATGCTATACAGGTATAGAAAAATATGATGGCTGTAATCATATGACATGTTCTCAGTGTAAATGTCATATTTGTTGGTTTTGCAAAGCTTATTTCAAAACAAGTACCGATTGTTATAGCCATATGGCCCAAACTCATTACACATACGGTTAGAAAAATGTTTTTGTTGAAGATCCTGGGGAAAACAGTGTTACTAGCTTTTTGATAGTATATATTCAAACAATTTATTAGTTGGCTTTTATCTATAACAATTATAATAGGAAATCTTGATTTTATCTGTGCGCTTTAATGCGATTATTTAAGTAGCGGTGTTGTTATTTACAATTTTTTTTTCTTGACAATTGCAAGATGTCATATTAAAGTAGCTTTAAATGTGTATAACTTGATCATCAATGTAAAATAACTCAATGGTTACATGTAATATATGACACTTGTAATGGGAAATCTTAAGACAATGATTTATAAAATGTGTGCTTTAATGGGAATATTTAAGTAGTGGTGTTCTTATTGATTTTGTTTCTTGACAATTGCAAGATGTCTTATTAAAATGACTTTTAAAGATTTTATACATGTATATAACCTGATTATCATTGTAAAATAACTCAATAGTTACTTGTAATCTTACAACACATCTTTACCACACATTTCACTCATTTTTCTCAGAGGTCTCCAGAAAGTAGATTTATAGATTATCTGCATTATTTTTTTCATAAATCAACAATACGTTGCTTTAAAATCTTTTGATAATCCTACTACATGTACATGGTAGCTGGGTTCCATTTATAAGTATTTTGACACTGGTTAGTTTATATGTTCATATTTGATAAATTTATTGTTGAATGTTTTAACAACAGAATTTTCTATTTAGTGATTTAGGTTTTCAATAGGTTGATATAGAACTACAGTATGAGCATTTTTCAAATATTAAGTTAGGTCTAATACAACTTGTATTATGGCTTCTTTTATTCATTGCTATTGTAATATAAAAATGCTTTTAAAAACCTAATAATTGTGATAATTGTGATAAAACTGAACGTATATTTACAAATATTATCATGTTATTAATTTGTAATATATTGCTTTTCTGATTGCATTTTAATCCAATAAAATTGGTTTAGCTGAATAAAACTACAGTTGCAATTTTTGAGTATTGCTTCCATATTTCTGCAATGTCTATAGACCGTTCTATAATATATATCATTACACCCCCGCTTGAAAAGGTCTGTCCATCCGTCTCTCTGTACGTTCGTCCGCCTGTTATGCTTTGGGGTACCCATCTCTTATCCGCAACTCCTCTCATAAGACTTTCCCAGAATCTTTATTACATATAATTGCCATTGTGACTGGCTATTTTACTCTTTGATCTGACACATATTTTGGGTTTCCCCAAAGCAAAACTTGGACACTGCGGGAGATGGACATGAAGGAGGCAGGGGTATCATTCTGTAAGCGCATTGCTCACAGTACCTTTAGTTTTTACCTGGACCCATGACCATAAACTGAGAGTTAACTTCGAGTCGAAATTTCAAATCAATATAACTTTTGGAAAAAAAAATTATAATGAAACTAAATTTGCATCATTTGTTGGAATCTGAATATACATGTAATACGCAGTATTTTAAAAACATATGTTGAATAAAATCTAAGTTATTCAGAATCAAAATTTTGTCTATTTTTTAGTTTATGGGGCCTTGTATAGGGGCCATAAAACTTAGAAAACGAGCTTACTTTTGATCTCAGTCTCTCTTTTACCAAAGGAATATATAGGCCTGGGGACCATAAAACTTAGACGACGAGCTTACTTATGATCTCAGTCTCACTTTTCCACTATATAATCCTTTGGAAAAAGTGAAATTGAGATCAAAAGTGAGCTCTTCGTCTAAGCTTTATGGCCCCCAGGCCTGGCCACAGGATCATGAAACAAACTGACTTAAGTCATTTTTTTTTTATATTTTTAATCGCCAAGAAAAATATTTATTAAGGATAGAATTTAGTTCTAAATTTGCACATAACACCTCAGTGGAACAATATTGAAAAATATTTTAATTTTGGTCTGCTCCACTTGTACAACATATTATTATAAAATAAAGATTTTGAAGGAAGCATAAAATGTATGGTCCTGGGGCCTGGACTCACAATAGACAAAAAGTTGAAAGTCTAATAAGTATGGGTTATGAAATAACACAATTTAAGAATAATCACAGTGATATTGTAAAAATATCGCGTATTTTAATTTCAATCAAATAAATGAAAATGATAGTAGAGCTCTAACACATAATCCCTAGAACTTGGAATATATCTCTAGAAAATAAATGTATGAGGCATCAATTTTTAGCTCACATGAGCCGAAGGCTCAAGTGAGCTTTTCTGATCACATTTTGTCCGTCGTCCGTCCGTCTGCTTGCCTGTCTGTCTGTCCGTCCGTCTGTTAACTTTCCACATTTTTGTCTTCTTCTCAAGAACCACTGGGCCAATTTTGACCAAACTTGGTACAAAGCATCTGGGCCAGAAAAGCTGAAACTTATGTGGAAGCATCTTGGGGTAGTGTAGATTCTAAATTGTTCAAATCATGATGCCCGGGGGTAGGGCGGAGCCACAATGGGGAATCAAAGTTTTACGTAGAAAAACATAGGAAAAATCTTTGAAAATCTCCTTCTCAAGAACCACTGGGCCAGAAAAGCTGAAAATTATGTGGAAGCATCCTGGGGGTAGTGTAGATTTTTTTAAATTATCTTAATTATGATCAGTTGGGTAGGGTGGGGTCACAATATGTATTATCAGGGGAAATC